CCTGAAGTCGTACAAATTGAATTGGAAATTTTTTGTTGATTGCTTGTTTTCGGAGAGGGAATTATTAGCGTGCCTGTCTGGAGGAAATTGCCTGGTGACAAATTGGAGTCGGGCTTGGGTTCAAAGGTTGTAGAGGGGTAAGAATGGGATACTGGAACTGAACTTAACTTGGGATTTAAATCTTTTTTTGTAGTAGAAGAATCGGAGAGACGATTCAGATCCTCAAAAAGTTCTTATGAGTCACAAGAGCAAAGATACGCCTATCACTGATAGATCTGGTTAGCTATAAGAATCATTAAAAAATCTGCGTGGTATTCCTATGTCCCCAGCTCCCACATCTTCCTCAATGTCAAGTTCAAGTTCAAGAGTCCTCAATAAATATAAATAGTTTGCATTTTCTTTAAGATTTTTCTTCCCTCAAGCCAAGAGCCATCCCATCAAGAACTTCGATCTGTAAGTGTATACCCTTCAAGCTCAACAAATTTATCAATGTTATCTCTTTCACATAGGTATGTATATACTTTGCATAAGTTGATGTACATATAGATATTTTGCTGGTTATTTTCACACGACCGAAGCGCGTGTCCTGTATTGACTAATTTGCATAAGGCTCCCTGGGAAAATGAAAATAAAAAGGAGGCAAAAATTTGCATAATCTGGGGAGTGTATGGTATGGCATACATGCTTCCAACTTTGACGTTTATCGCATTCGCATGTTAAACAAATTCTATCAGTCACCTTTTTCGGTTCGTTTTTCAGTTTCTTAAGTCAATACGCACGACTTGAAATGCACGTGTGTCGGGGCCACGGCCACCTTAATGAGTCGTGTTTTTGGGGACTGGTGACTGGGTTTCCATTTACTTCCCCAAAGTATACCCCATCGTAACCCCACAGCTCAGACACCTTATATAACTGCTCGGAAGGGAGCACAAAAACATGTTTAGTTTTGAACTTGAACTTAATTAGGCAGCTCCACTGCTCCGCCACCCAGCACCTAAAACAGACTTCACTTGGGGCCTGCCTGACGTCATCAATGACTAAATTTAATTAAAAAATTCCGCAAGGAAAAAACAGTAGGAGAAACGTGCAAAATAAATGCGAAATATCTGTAGATGTCGGGGAGGAGATAGGAGAGGAGAGGAGATATACGTGCCGAAGTCAAAGCAAACAACAAGACAACTCTTGTGGGAAATTTATACATCACAGAGGACGACGAGGGCAGGCCTAAATGGTCATTTGCCTCATTTAGCTTTTGCCTTTGGCCACATTTTCATTGCTCTTCTTCTTTGCTGGCTTCCCTTTTGGATTTCTGACTTCACACCCCAAAGAAATCTCTCAGAAATGTTCCTCTAACCAAACCCCTACTGAAAATGCTCCCCAATGGGTGCTCACTCGCATCTGTGAATGATTGTCTGAATAATTGAATGGATTTGATGAATTATTTGGTCAGAGAAGACAGGAAAATTAGCCAAGCAAATGGGTTGAGAGCAAGCTTATCCCTTGGGATAAATTTGGGATAGGTTTGAAGTCATACATTAGTAGAGTTTACACTCCAATAACCATATCTGACATTCTAGTACTCCTTTGAGAGATGACGAACGTTCCCTCCTCCACTTTTGGGTACAAATTGGAAAATGTTTCAGTGGGAAAGTGTGTGTCTGAATGCATAGAACCCATTTAAAAGTGGTGGATCTTCCGTTTTCATTTGGAAGTACTTTTATCCCGTACTTTGACTCCTTCTTAGAGCTTATCTTCCTTACACACACCATTTGCTCTTGGGCTAAGACTTTCTAATTATCTTTCGGCATAAAATTACGTATGCCCTTAAGTACAGCTAATTTCCACGACAGAATATAGAGAGATATAACATAACATATATGTATGTGTGTGCGAGTATGTACCGTAGTTTCATCTTCATCCTCATCTTCATCATCATCATCATCGTCATCATCTCCATCTTCATCGGCGTCTCCTTCATCGTTTCCCTTATCGAGGCTCGCCTCATCTGTGCGCGCTGCCAACTTTTCACTGCTCGCACTGCCGCTCGCGATGCCGCTGGAGGAGTCGCTCGAGTGGATGCCACTGACTAGGCCATGACCATTGCCAATATGATGGCTACCATTACCGTTAACGCCGCTACTGTTGCCAATGTCCGGGAGCATACTGCGCTCTGAAGCCGGTTCGAAATATGAACTCTAGTGCGAGAGAATGTTCAGCTCGCCAAGGGTTCGAAATATGGTCACGGCATTTAATTTCACACTTTTGCACAATTTTATTGATTGATTGTTTAATTAATTAACAATATTGTGGGACTATAAGTGTCTTAGTTTTTTTCAAATAGTTTATTTCATTTTGAGGAACATTTTTAACTTTTTAAACGCTGCAAACACATACAAACAACGTTGTGTATACTTGATATGAAGAAAATATCACGCATACGATGCGTGGTTCGGTCAAACTCATACATAAGTGAATGAAAAACTTTAAAATTTTTAGAGATATTCTTTGAAAAGCCTTTAAATTATTAGTAAACTAAAAGGGACTAACAAAATATTTTTAATATTTTTAATAAATATTTCAAAATAGTTTAAACAATACAAAAAATTTAAAAATGACGAATTGTAAGCCATTAGCTTTTAACATTAACCAATTTTTAGGTACAACTTTTAAAGCAATTAGATTTGTGATATTTTTGCCGATTATCTTCCACTGAATTGTGTAGTTTTTAATTCATTTTCGTGGAGTTTCCATGAGAAAAAACAACCATCAAAAAATGCATAAAAAGTTCTAAAACAAAAAAACAACAATCAAATGAAACACGTTTTGGGCCAACAAAAGAAACTGGAGAACTAATTCTCTGTTCAACTACGGAAAACGCTGCGAGGTCCGCGCCGTGAAATCTTTCGTCTGGTGCTGGCGTTCGCCCAACGCGCAACTGATTTTCCGAAGCGCAGGGAAAAGCTCCCACAGCTGAACCTAAATGGCACGGAACTTCGTTTTTCCTTGCAGTTTTTCGCGCCGAAGTGAAAGCGAAAACGAAAGCGAAAGCTTTTCCGCGCTCGGCCAGCAGTAGGTGCTCCGGCAAACTTCAGACCAGAGTTCATTCACGAGCAATGTTTCAATGGGGCCAGTCACGTGTTGGCCACAATTTCACTTTCACTCCCCGGCTGCTCCCCACTCCTGCACCTTTAGCCGAGCACCTATCCTGTTGCCTTCCCAAATCCGGGGCTAAAACTACAGCCCGAGGCTTGCCGAGCAGCTGTTGCTCAACTTGTTTCTGGATGTCGCAGTCCCAGTTCTGGTCCCCCATCCATTACTCTTGTGTAGGTTAATCCTGCATAGGACCTTCCCTTAGACTTTTATTAATGCGCTTACTCTATCATCACTTATTTCATTTAGCCGCAATTATTTGGGGATATCAATGGTTTGACAAATTAAATATACATATTCAACCAATTGACTCAATTAATTGCTAATTTTGTGGTTCTGTCATTGGAAGAATAAGACACCGAAACTGCTGACGCACGTGCCATTGCGTGCCTCGTACTGTGTCTGTTTCTGTGCCATCTCCCAAACGCTCATTAGCTCATAAAAATGGTAATAAGAACAGGATAGGTCTAAAAAAAGGCTAAATGGGGTATAAGTTAAAGTTAAAAGACCACTTAGGATTGAGGCAAACGATGATTGCTGGACAGGTAGTGAAACACGTGCTTAATAACGTGCCTTAACCTTGAAGTAGCTTTTCCAGGGATTCGGCAAAATGTATGAAATGATTGTTGAAAAGATTTGTATCCCCGAGTTGCCATCACTTCTAGATTCATTGGGGATTTCTCTCACCCATCTGCCGTTCGAATTTGACGGATCTTTTCAGATTTCAATACGAGTTTCTCGGAATGATTATAGGAATTTGACTAGAATAGACACATATCTCAACCAATTGACTCTTTAATTGACTTTTTTGAGTAGCAGATTTGCTAGTTACTAACTAGTCAAAACCTTAAAACAATAATAAGGGAAACAAGTTCAATGTTGTCACCTCCAAAACTGGAAGTGAAAGTCACACCCGTAAATCAATTGCAGGGCTCGAAAACAAAGTTCCCAAGCCAATTTCTCTCGAAACTTGTTGCCACCTCCCTTACAATTATTGTCAGAAGTTGCTCCAGATAGCTATTGTTCTGTTATTGTTCCAATTAGCATCGACTGGTGTAAGCTCTAGTGTGATGCACTTGTGTGCCTTCGTATTGTTGCTTTATTTACAAATCTAATTCGACAGCCGCACCCCCGGCCGCCTTCCATCGCCAGCTGTCATATAATCATTGTTCGAACGAGAGTGCTAATAAATTTTACATCAACAATAGCTCACCGAGCTCGGAGATGGGGCAGGGCTACGCGTGTATCTTTATTTTAACGGAGACCCGCGATTGGCACGCGCAACGAACAAATTAGACGGAAAGTTCTGACTGAGGGCTGATACCCTTACAGGAGGGTACAATGGTTTCTATAGTATATTTCCACCAATATCTGAGAGGATATAGCAATATCCATCCAGCCTTCTCTCTGTTTCCATCTTAAGGAGAGGCCAGGTTTGATACAAATCTGACTGAAACAGTGCACAGATCCTTATCAAAAGGACAAAAGGACCCGTATGAACAAGGGTATGTAAGTCTTCGTTGCTTAAGTCCAGCCTTTCCGCCTTGTTATTCTGAATGTGGATGTTACGTTGATTACGCATACGCCGCGTGTTACGGCGAAGAGAAACAAAAGGAAAAGTTTTCTTGCTTTTACCCATGTAAACATTTTATGGAAAAATAAAATGAGTTTTGAAGTAGGAAGCACACAAAAAGTTTAAATAAAATTAGCAACTTGCGTGTTGTTTCGGTTTTAGTCCCTGTCATACATGGCGTATGCGTGATATTATGATAGGTCAATTAAGGAATTCATTTGCCGAGCTTTTGATGTATGAAACGAGCACAGAATGAAGTATAGTCTTCATAAATCACCTGAACTTTCAGCATCACAATCTTGATCTCCACACGATCGTTGGGCGCACTCTTAGGATGAGGCGCCTCCGCAGGGGACTCCTTAATCGGTTGGGGCACATTTCTAGAACCTCCCATTAAACTATCATCGGGATGGATGAAACTCATTTTTGGTTAATTATTTGATTGATTATTGCGGAACCTTTCGGTTCAGGGAATCATAATGCCGCTGCTGCGCCGCGTTAGTTGTGCAATTTGAATTTATATAATCACGACACCCACGAACGCCAGTCCACAAATCAAGTCAAATCAACCGAATACGCGATTCTCGTTTTGGCGGGGTAAAGCAATCGCTAATTGGGAATATCTCAAGTGCTGAATATTTATGATTTCTTTGGAATATCGCTACGAAACGAAACTGATTTATCCGTAAGAGCACTCGCTGTTCTGTGGTATGTGTGTAGGAGGCAAGGGCCGTTCTCGAACTACAAAAGAATCGCAATGGGGAAAAGAAATTTCATTGGTTTTGGTTTTTGGCGTTTGGCGTTTGCCGTTTGGCGTTTGGCTTTTTGCGGGTTGACTCGATTTCCGCTTGACGCCTGAAGAGTAGCACTGCCACCGCCAGTAGCACTGGCGCACTACGAGGGTTTCTATTAATAGGCCGTAGTGTAGTTGTGTAGTGTAGTGTCCAAATCAGTATTCGATTAGATGCTCTGACAATTGCACTTGTACACAGGCTCTTCCCCATCCCATCCCATCCCATCCGATTTATTCGCTCACCAAAAGTCAAGTTCAAGTTTAACAAGACTGAGAGACACCACCACCGAACGAGAGTTCCCCTGTGCTCATCGATATAGTATCTAGCATCCCATATAGTATCACTCTCAGGTCTGCCAACAGAATCTATGTACTCTTGCCAAAAAGAAATAAAGAAACAGAAAAAAAACACCCATACGCCATGTCGTACCCGTAATTCATTTCGCTTTTCTCTGTCTCTGTTTGCTTAAGTGTTTCATTATTTTATTTCCTACTCTCCCTCCTTCATTCTGCTTTTATTTCATTTCACCCAAAATTGTATTTATTTGACACTTTATTTGTGTTTTCTTTGGGATTGTTCTTCATTTTGTTTATTCGTATGTTTCAACAGACTCCTCAGGTGGCCTAAAGCGGGATCTATTGTAAAATTGAACCTAATATTTAGACATATATCAGGTAAAAATATTGCTTCATCTGAATAAATGTAAACAAGGCATAAAGAAAACTAAAGAAATTATTTATAATTAACCGCAAGCTAGAGCAGTACCTTGCCTGCTCTTGCGTGTATACAATATTATTATAAAATACATGCTCGTCTACTTATTTCCCCCAAGAATCTTTTACGCTCTTTGCCACATGAGCTTCCCACAGCTGATTGCAACTGAAATTTCCTTAGCCGTTCGCCAATTTACATAGAATATAGAATTTAGCATTGATTACAAATTTTCTTCATTTGCATCCAACACATGCTAGCACCTCATAATCTCTCTCAAATTAAGTATACATTGTAGTGGGGCTATTTGCCATTAATTAAATGGGAATAAATCAGAGTCAGTCCGAGTCTATGAGACTACTGAAAAATCAGCAAGGGAATGGATCCAGTAGCTGGCTGAGTCAGTGCCAAGAAAAAAGCATAATTCTAGTGACGTTGGGGGTTATTGCCACTTATAAGCGTTCCCCTGGCACCTGTTCACAGACGTCTGTACATACAGCGCGTTTCGCAGCTGTAAGAATGGGTCAGTATTAATAGTCTTCCAGAATCCACACGAGTGTGTGGACTCCTTAGAAATTTAATTGGAAAATTGTAACCATTCTGGGCACTGCTCTGGAATATCTGTATATATTCTAAGGATTTCTCTTACTTTATCATTTTATTCCAATTTCACAGTAAACACCCTGGTCTTATATTTTCGAAACACACTGTACCCACGTTTTTTTTTGCTAGTACTTAAAATTCAGTCACTCGTATAATTCCTTTACAAACATCAATATGTATTTTCCAATAATTGGGCAAATTTCCAGGTAAAAGGCAGCCACAAATCGAATCGACTAACACAACTAACGCAATGCAGCATACGGACTTCCCCCATAAATGATAGTCCACTGACCCCATAATGAACTCAAACACGTTTTGTCCGGCCGTTCTCAAGTTGAAACAATAACTAAACCAGAGATTCACACTTCACTTTCCACTATGCATTATTCAGGAGAATTTCCAGGTCGGTTTCGACAGAACCCTGTAATTTCCCACAGTTATTTATAAATTTTTGATGCATAATTAATTACACTTGTGCCGCATCTATATTTAAGAAGCCTTAAATCAGCGATTTATTGTGGCAATAGATCAAGTAAAGTGCAGGTTTACGGGAACAGTTACTTGTAGATCAGTGATTCATATTGTTTAGCAGGCGGTCTAAGTAGTATCGTTAAAATGATATTACATTGTACAAACTACTTAATATTTTCAAGACATGATATTTCAATGGAAACAGTTTTTTTACGCCTTGCAAGCCTCGGAATATATGTAACACTTCAAATGATTCCTTTACTTCATGTAAATTACTAAAATCAATAAATCATTCAATGTATGTACATATGTTTCCTATTCAATAAACTTCAGGGGGGATTTTATATTTTTCTTTTTTTTATAAATATTTAAAACTTTCCTCCGCTAACAGTATAACTTTTAGCAGGACAATAAATTATTTATCAGTCCCGAAATTTGGACCTTCATAAGTGTACAATAAATTTACTGTTCACACACGCAAGCTTAATTAATTAATATGTAATTGTGTTAATTTGGCTTAAATTTGTATGGAAAAATTGAATGCACTTAATTAAAACGATTATGCACTTTCAAAACAATTGAAGGCACAGCAAGCTTACCTATTCCAGATCACTGATATCCAGTCAGAAGGAGTTTCCTATTCTGGTAATCATTATTTGGGTAGGATATGCGGGCACTAATGATAGTTGATGAGGGGGATTCACTCCTGCTACCGTTCGCTGTGAACATTAAACGGATACTGAACTCATGGCAGATCCGTGGCCTCTCTTCACACTTCACTTGAAGTGCCAAAAACTCTAGTAGTTTCCACTCACACACCGACACGGGCATGTCGCCCAGCTGGCTTGTGTATTTAGTATATATATTAAGCAAATATGTATGTTAATAAACGCGGATCGAAAAGAACGACGCTCGGGGTGAACCTGCGAATACGCGTAAAGCCCGTTGTTGTTTGCTCAACAAATTTAGCGCTTGTTGCAAAATTTAAACCGTTTCTGAAACTGAAGTCGAGCGCGCGCCACTCGATCTGGATTGAGATCTGTAGAGACTGCGATCTGGAGAACCGAAGAACGCCGATCGTCGGGATCGTCGTCGTATCACGAAGCACGTCTGGGGTAACGAGCATGGAAATTTTCTTATATTTTATATTGGCAGCACGCTGCGCATGCCCGATTGATTTGCAACTTTTTTGGATCTGTTTTGTTTAGTTACTTTGACTAATTTGATTGAACGGTTGATCTTCGAAAAACTCAACCTTAACTGGTTCGGTTTTTTTTGCATTTTGACTTTCAGTGTCTTGACCATCATGTGACATATTGATTAAACAATAATTACTAATTGACAGTAATTATTAATTACGCCGAAAAACAAAACACAAGAGATAAAACGGGTCACGTTTCCACGGGCTAAAGGAGAAATAAACACAATTTGATGATGTAGGCAATCAGACCAAACAAACTATAAATAATCAAGCCCAAGTATCCCATTGTTCTAGATATATTTGAATAAACTTCTCTCTCTGCCTTTCTGATATGAAAGAGAGCTGAATTTAATTGCTTGGAATAATCATATTATCCATCAATGAAAAATTATAATAATTTCAAGCGAACTAGGGGAAAAATCGTACATGGGATTTAAGGGGGATGTACAAAAATCACACTCGCGTTTATTAGAGAATCAATATAATCAGTACATATAACATTTAATACTCTAGATATAGACACGTACGACAGAAACTATATACAAAGAATTATGAACTCCTGACATCCTGGTACAGATTTTGAGCTTTCATACTTTGTATTTCTCCATTTACTTATACGTCTCCCTCGGCATCTGCATAAACATTTTCAAAGCATACTATTAGAAATTGTATCATTTAAGGTTAAATACACATTTTTCTACCCATGTCATTTAACGAAAAACAAATTTCTCCTTCTTCTTTCTTTCAATCCCCTTACCTTCACCTCACAGATCTATGCTCATCGATGACAAATTCCCTTTTGATTTCTGTTTTGTTGATTTCTTAATTTTTTGCTTCAGATATGCTATCAATCAACAAGCCATTGCTAATTCCTTGTGACGATTATTTTGTCAGCGTTAATATTCGATGTAAATAAATTTTTGAAAATCGCACAGATACAATATTTCTCTCCGCTCGCCTTCAGATATGCTTAACCTTGTTATTGAACTCCCCAGGAGGGAACTTTTTCGCAGTGCCCATACACATGTGTATGTATGTATGTAGGTGATACCCATTACAGACACGCAAAGAAACAGGTGACAATCATATTTTTTTCCACAAAAAATAAATAAATATTATTTGTTGCTAATTCAATTATTTTGCGATCTTTTGTGTTTATTTGCTTTTTGAATCTGTCGGGCTGGCACTATTTACTTTTGCCGTTTCACAGATCATTATGATATATGGGCTATAATGTAAAAGGCTAACAGGGAAAATTGTTAAAGAGTGGTCCCCTTATCAACGTTGTCCCCAGTATCAATCAGAAATCCTGGATGCGGAGGTGGCAATGGTCCCATGTCCAAAAGATCAACTAACTCATCGAAGAACTTGTTCGTACTAATGTAGTTAGGATTTTTCATCATAGTGTTCTGGCGGCGAAAGATTCCACTGTCGGCAGGAAGTCCATCAGGAAGAACGGCTACGCAAAGTACTATCCAAATATAAGCCTTTGCCAAGAATCGAGACATTTTTGTCACTAAAAAAAATATGACCGACACGGCATTGAGGAAAAAATAAATAAATGATCTGCTAATTATTGCTTTTTATTAAGAGTTTATTGGTGAGGTTTCAAAGTACTTTCGACTTGGAGCAAGCATAACCCACAGGTAAAAGGTGCCCAAGTGTTGAATATATTCCAGAAGTCCCATCATCCTATCATTGACAGCGCTGTACAAATGAATTTCAAACTTACTTATTATACAGCATAAGATTGCAAATCGAATTGATTTAACTTATTTAAATTGTGCCAGCATTGAAATAACCAAATCAAATTGATTTGAACATATTGTTTTATATAACAATATTTTGTTCTGGGTTTCTGTTTTATTTTGTGTCTCCAACTTGTTTGAATGTATAGGTATTTATCACATATAAAAATGTGATTTGAACTAAAATAATGATATATTTACATATTTAAATATATCATTACGATCTAAGAAAAAAAATATATATACTAAAATAAATATTTATACATACATATGTATGTATGTAGGTATATATGAAATTAGTTTTACATCTATTTCAAAACAATTTTCAATCGCGCGCTTTACGATGGGAATATGCAAAAAAAAAAATGTAAATGCGTGTGGATACACAAAGAAATAGGTGACAGAAATATTTTGTTCCACAAAAAAATAAATAAATAATATTTTTCGATAATTCAATTAGTTAGCGATCTTTTGTGTTTATTTGCTTTAGGAATCTGTCGGGTTGGCACTATTTACTTTTGCCGTTTCACAGATCATTATGATATATGGGCTATAATGTAAAAGGCTAACAGGGAAAATTGTTACCAGTCCGTTAACGAGGGGTCCCCTCATCAGCCTTGTCCCCAGTATCAATCAGAAATCCTGGATGCGGAGGTGGCAATGGTCCGATGTCCACAAGATCCGCTAACTCATCGAAAAACCTGTTCGTACTGATGTAGTTAGGATTTTTCATCATGGTATTCTGGCGGCGAAAGATTCCAGAGTTTACAGGAAGTCCAGCAGGAAGAAAGGCCACGCAAAGTCCTATCCAAATAAAAACCTTTGCCAAGAATCGAGGCATTTTTGTCACTAAAAAAAACTGGCGTCACGGCATTGTGGAAAAAATAAACAAATGATCTGCTAATTATTGCAATTTATATGGTTTATTAAAAGATTATTGTTGCGTTGTTAATGTACTTTTGACTAGGATGATACAAAACGAACAGATAACAAATGCCCAAATGTTGAATAAATTCCAAGAGTCCCATCATCCTATCATTGACAGCGCTGAAAAAATGTATACATTCTTGAATTTAAAACCTACCTATTATATAGCATTAGATTAAAAATCGATTTGATTTAACTCATTTGAAATGTGCCAGCATTGAAATATCCTAATCGAATTGATTTAAACAGATTGATTTATATAACAATATTTTGCAGCTCGATTTAAAATTTAATTCAAAATCTAAATTCCGCGTAAGTATCGATATCGATACTATCCCACTCTTGCACTTCTCTACTGGGTGAGTATTTGCGATATATTATATACTTCCCGGTATATACCGACGGCGGTATGAACCGACGGTATTTTTACGGTATATTGGTATATAATGGTATATTTTGGTATATATATCGATTTGAGAAAAGGTCTTTATAAATTACTTTTGATCTTCATATAAAATTAGCGAAATAGGGTATACAACGGCCTCTGTGCGCATCGTGTTTTAAAATACCAGCAACATTGCGACTGGTTTTTAGCCAAAATGCAATAAAAGCTTGTGTTAAAAAAAATTAGTCAATTAGAAAATAGATTCATTAATCGGATAAAACTATGTGGGCATGGCTAAATGTTCTATGTAGCTAGTAATAAGCCACGGAATATCAAAAACAAGGAATATGTGATATAGAACTTGAATTCGTCAGTATATTTACGGTATATTTTTGAACGAGACGGTATGTTTCGGTATATTTCTGAGGGTTGCACGGTATATTTTATCGCTAATAAAAATTTTCTTTTTTAAGTTTATAAGCGTTTTTTATCCATTTTTAACACAAAAGAGAGTTGAAAACCGAACATGCCGCCCACTATCAACAATTCAGTGGTAAATAGCACTGCCGATAAACGTCCGCAACGGCAAACGGAACGCAAGTACGTGAAAAAAGCCATCGCAGAAACAAAACAATTAGCTAAAATGTTTCTTTTTGCAGATCGGAAATCATTTGCCGTGTCAAATATGGCAACAATCTGCCAGACATACCCTTCGACTTGAAGTTTCTACAATACCCCTTCGATAGCCACCGTTTCGTGCAGTACAATCCCACGTCCCTGGAGAGGAATTTCAAGTACGATGTGTTGACGGAGCATGATCTGGGCGTTACGGTGGACCTGATCAATCGCGAGCTCTATCAGGCGGATTCCATGACTCTGCTGGATCCTGCCGATGAGAAGCTGCTGGAGGAAGAGACCCTGGCGCCCACGGATTCCGTGCGTTCCCGCCAACATTCCCGTACCGTGTCCTGGTTGCGCAAATCCGAGTACATTTCCACGGAACAGACCCGCTTCCAGCCGCAAAATCTCGAGAACATCGAAGCCAAGGTGGGCTACAATGTCAAGAAATCTCTGCGCGAGGAGACGCTCTATCTGGATCGCGATGCCCAAATCAAGGCCATCGAGAAGACCTTCCTCGATACAAAGACCGATATTACCAAGCACTACTCCAAGCCGAATGTGGTGCCCGTGGAGGTGCTACCCGTCTTCCCCGATTTCATCAACTGGAAGTATCCTTGCGCCCAGGTCATTTTCGACAGCGATCCTGCTCCGGTAGGCAAGAACGTGCCATCCCAGCTGGAGGAGATGTCCCAGGCCATGATTCGTGGTGTGATGGACGAGAGTGGCGAACAGTTTGTCGCCTACTTCCTGCCTACAGAGCAAACCCTCGAGAAGCGTCGCGCCGACTTCATTGCCGGCGAACTGTACAACGAGGAGGCGGAGTACGAATACAAGATTGCCCGGGAGTACAACTGGAATGTCAAGACGAAGGCCTCCAAGGGCTACGAGGAGAACTACTTCTTTGTCATGCGGCAGGATGGCATCTACTATAATGAGCTGGAGACCCGTGTCCGTCTCAATAAGCGACGCGTCAAAGTCGGCCAGCAGCCCAACAATACGAAGCTGGTGAGTACTAGCTAGAATAATTCGGGTCTACACAATCATAATTAATTTCGCTCCTCACAGGTGGTCCACCATCGCCCGTTGGAGGCCGTGGAGCATCGTATGCAACGATATCGCGAGCGTCAACTCGAGGTTCCCGGAGAGGAGGAAGAGGTGGAGGTGCAGGTGGACGAGGAAATGGATGTGGATGAAGAGCCGACCCCAGCGCCCGCTGTAGAGAAAGAGAAGGCTGCACAAGCTGCGCCTGCTACTCCCAAGCCAGCCGGGGGCACCGATTCTCCTGCCCAGGTGGCACGGGACCGGCAGTCTAGATCCAGGACTAGAACTCGCAGTCGCAGCGGCTCCAGCTCGGGGTCAGGATCTGCGTCTGGCTCTGGATCACGGGCCAGCAGCCGCTCGAAGTCTGGCACACGCTCACCCAGTGGCTCCCGATCGCGCACTAATTCACCAGCGGGATCCCAGAAGTCCGGCGCCGGGTCTGCCAGATCGAGATCGCGGTCGCATTCGAGATCACGTTCCAAATCCGGCTCCCGCTCTCGCACACCCTCCAAGGCGGGCTCCCGCTCTCGCTCACCCTCGAAAGCGCGATCCCACTCTCGCTCACGCTCCGGTTCTGGCTCGCGTACGCCCAGCCGTTCGAGAAGTGGATCGCCCAGTGGCTCCGGCTCCAGTTCAGGCAGCGGCGCCTCAGACGAGGAATGAAGATATTTTCAAAAAGTAAATATAGAAAAAAATAAATGAGTAAATATTAAATATATTCAAGGAGTAAAAGCCCAGTCAAGTCGGGTCTGTTCCGATTTATCGTTGGGCATTCAAGGATCATAACGAAATGTAAATCAATAAGACGGACGAGTCACTAAAGTGAAACAGTAACATTGAAAAGAAAATCTCGTGGACGGCCGCCTACGTGGCGTCCATCAGGAAGCGCTTGAAAATGTCCCCATCCGAGCTGGGCATCTCCATTTGCTGCGGGGAATAGAGGCGCAGATTCTGGAGCTGCTGCAGTGGCGAGCTGCTGCCATTGAAGTGCATTCCGGCCACATCCAGGGGCACTGGCTGCGCAAGCTGTGGTTCAACGCCACAGATGCCCAGCTTCTGGCATTGCTCCACAACGATGTCGTCGATGGTCTGGGAGAGCAACGCCTCCTGGTCCGGGTCCGCCACACCACAGCCATTGATGTCCGCAATCTCGGCACTGGCCGGCGAGGGCTGTGTCGGCGACTCGTTGCCCTCGAGAAATGCCTTGATCAGCTGCTCCGGTGTCTGGTTGTCGCTGAGGCATCTGTGGGTGCGCTGCGACACCTTGTAGCGGAACGTCTTCTGGCAGAGCTCACACTTGTAGGGCATGACGCCCGTATGGATGCGGGTGTGGACTAGAAAGGATACCCGCTGGCGGAAGCATTTTCCTGTAAAAAAAAACATCACACATTTCTTTTAGCTCTTGGAGGATCAGGTCAATATTCTGCAGCTGTACTCACCGCACACCTCACACTTGAAGGGTTTTTCGCCGCTGTGGATGCGTTGGTGGTTGTGCAGCGTGGACAGCTCCTTGAAGGCCCGTCCGCACACTCCACACACATGCGGCTTCACCTCGCTGTGGTAGAGCAAATGCTTGTGGTACGACTGCTGGAAGGTAAATGTCCTGGCGCAGATTTCGCACGTGTATGGCATCTCCCCGGTGTGTAGGCGCTTGTGCTTCTTCAGGAAATACTTGGTTGTGAAGGACTTGGTGCACACATCGCACTCCCACACCTTGGGCGTGCTGCTGGTGGCCTCCGGCGAGGCTGGCGACTGCTGCAGCATGCTCAGGGCTCCACTGAGGGCATACGGCTGGGAACTGGTGCTGCTGGAGGCGGGGCAACTGCCACTGGCCGACGCCTCCTTGTGCCGGATGCGGTCACAAATGTTTAACTTCGGCGAGGGAGCATTACTGCCGTTGGTAGTGGCACTGCCATTCCCGCTCTGGCTAGAGCACGGCACCCCCATCATGTGCACCACTTTGAGGTGCACCCGGAGCGATCCCTTCATGCGGAACGTCTTCGAGCATAGGTGGCACTTGTAGGGCTCCTGGTGGGGCTCCTTCTCCGGCTGTGGACCCGTCCTCTGCTGCTCTTCTGCATCCCCGTTCTCGTGCACCAGCCGGAAATGCATGTCCCGCAGCTCGTTGTTCCGGAAACTGAACTCGCAGATATCGCAGCTGGCCGGCGGCTCGGGCACTGGTGGGGGTGGAGGTGGAGCGGGCGCCGGCTCTACAGCCTTTGCCTTCGATCGCTTGCCCCTGCGTTTGGGTGCAGTAGTCGCAGTCGGCGTCTGAGTCGCAGCCGTTGTTGGGGCTGCTGGCGGGGTAACAGGGGCAGTGGTTGTGGTTGTGGCAGCAGGACTTTCGGTCATCAGACTGGTATGAGTGAATAGGTGAATCGTCAGCTTGTCCAGGCCAAGGAACAGCTCCTTGCAGTTGGAGAAGGGACAAGCCAAGGGGCCGTTGGCCGCTTTGATCAGTCGCTGCTGCAGTGCATCGATGCTCCCGAAACTGGGCACCGCGCACAGTGGACACAGCACCGATGTGGAGCACATAGCGACCCGAACACTCACTCAGTCACTCACTCGCGTCTTATGCAAATCTTTAAAATTTTGTTTGGTTTTTTCTGGGGATTTTCGGTTCCTCAGGAGTCCATGCCACCACGCGAACACTGAATGCCCAATCGGTTTTTCTTTCAGAATATTTTCTAAAAATACTTGCAAGGAAAATTTTTAAAAACTTTCAGGCCCAACCGATCACAGCGAGCGATCTCCGCCCGATTCACGGCCCCGATGATGCCAGCGGGGCAAAATAATGAAAAATAATGAAATGCCCGGTGCTGATCGCCGCCGAATCGACAGAAAGAATTTCGAAAACACACTGAAAACTCATGCTCACATCTCTCCAACATTTCCGTTTCGTTCCGATCCGATTCTCGCTGTCTCCTCTCTCTTTACGGCGGGCACCGTATTTCGAAAGACAGTATATATAGATATAGTATCTGTCCGATATATTGTGTTGTTGCGGCCTCATTGCCTTTGTGGCTGTCTTTGTAACGCATCAAGGGGCCAATGTGTATATGATATACTCGTATGTATGTCAGATTTGTCAGATTACTTAAAAGCCACCCGCAATTTATAACTTTAGACAGATGGTTCTATTAGTGACTCTGCTATGGGGTTTAAGTCTTTCAGGGGATAACCACTGGTTCTTAGTCCTCATAGCTAGAGAAGAGACTGAATTATTAGGAACAATATTCTCAGCATCCATATTAAACTATATATTGTTGATGTTTATCTTTTACGAATATACAGGTATGGATTTGTCCCTTTAAATTTATTGGCGATGAACTCTTAAACCAATTCTGATGATCTGAATGGATTTGTGCCGTGAAGTAGAGTATCCATCGGAAGTTGCTTGTAAGAAATGTGCATACCCTAGGCGACACCAATACTCGTACAGGCACTCGAACAAATATAGTACCTATGTAGCCCCATTGGATTTGTTGGGGTGCTATTTTTATGGCTGCTCTCTTGTTTGGGCCCACTTTGGCAACGCATTTTCCCTGCTGTTCCGTTTGGACGGTCCATTTGTAAACAGTTCGATGGCCAAGCACGTGAAGCCCAGGCCCGGAGAAAATAATACCAAAACAAATGTATATAGTCGTAATTATGATATCATAGTTCAAAAACCAACAAAACAAAAGAAAGGTAATTGGAATTAAATCATTTCTGCGTGGGAAACTCGAGGGATACAATGCTGACACCCGAGACAGAGGCGTTGGAGCTGTCGTCCTTGAGGGAACTCAAATCGGAGGCCGAGGAACGGGCACTGATGCCCGCCAGGAAGCCCTTGCCGGAGACACTGATATAGGAGCCAGCATCCTGGGACGACGACGAGGGAGTCTTCCAGGATACGCAGCTGCGGGTGCGCTTCAAGTGCTGGGGCAGCTTGAGACCCTTCTGCAGTATAAGGTCAATGATTTCGGGGCCATTCTCATCGCTATTGGCCATGTCCACCAGCATGTTCAGCCCCTTGGAGTTGCGCGCCTCCAGCTCCTGCAGGTTGAGGTCCCGCTCGAAATTGGCCAGGAAATCGTCACTGATTGGACGCTGCTTGATCTCTCGCAGCTCCATGCGGATCTCGCGGTTGGCCCGTTCCAGTTTCGAACGCTGATCGTCCATATCCCGGTTCAGCTTTTCCAGCTCCTCGGAGTGCTCTGCCCGCTGGTTCTTGGCCTGTTCGAGGCGTGTGAGCAGTTCATCCTCCTCGGCCTTCAAGGCCATGAACTTCTGGTCATATCGATGCTTCTTGCAACGCAGATGCTTCAAAGTCGCCACATCGCGAGCGTAGGCTTCCTCTATCAGCTGCAACTCCTTTTCGATCCGCTCCCGATCTAGCCAGATTAAGATAATGAAGATTAGGACGATCAGAGGTGGTGCTATCGATCGGTATGGTGACTTACCCCTTGAGTTTTCATCTGTTGGCTCGAAGGTCTTGCGGTATTTATTGTTTGAGCGATCGAATTGACGCAAAGTATTCTCCAAGGCAGTCACTTCTTGCTCGGCCTGGAGTACCTTCTTGTTTAAGGCATCCCCCTCGTCGGCCATCAGCTGTCGGTTCTGGGCATTCTCCACCTTCAGCTGGGTGCTGGTCACGAGAGTGCCATCATCGTTCTTGCCCAACAGGCGAGATGTGAGCTCGAACCGCGATCGCATGGCCTCGATATGCTTCTTGCGCTCACCGAGATCGGCCTTCATGGTGCTCAGTTCCTCGTTGAGATGTTTGCGCTTCAGCTGGAGGACATCCTCCTGGCTGCGCAGCTCGACGGTCCGGTCCTTGATGGCCCGCCGGAAGGTGAGGCGATGCTTTTCCAAATCAAACGCGCCCTGGTCGCAGCCGTTGATGCCGAGCTCCAGGTCGCTGCAGCGCATTTTCACCATATTCAACTCGACGATCCGCTCCGAGTTCTCGAAGCGATTCATGCGAAGTCGCTTCACGGTGCCCTCGCAGTAGACCTGCGCCTCCTTGATCTTGAACCGCCCCATGTCCAGCTCCTTCTCGTCGGCGTTGTACTGGATGACCATGTTGTTCATGTTGTAATTGAGCTTTTTGTTCTGCGCCTCCGTGGTGGAGATCAGGCGCTGCAGCTTCTCGAATTCGAGCTCCAAATTGGCCAGGATCTTCAGGTTGCGCTCCTCCACCGCTGGATCCTCCTGGGAGCCGCTCATCAGGGCGTAGTTTCGCTCAACTTCCAGAAACTTGAAGCACAGATTGTAGTGGATCTCGGTCTGCCGCTGCAGCTCGTGGGTGACTTGGCGTTGACTCCGCTTCAGGGCCGCCAGTGTGCACGCGAGGGATTCGTTCTGAATGTGGAGGGTCTTCTCCTCGTCCCGCAGCTCTGTCACCTGTCGCTGGGTGCGGAAGAGTAGATCGTTGACCTTTTGCTGCTCCTTTTCTAGATTCTTTAGCATCTCCTCCTCGCTCTCCATCATATCCTCGAGTATCTTCAGGCGCTGATCGGCATTCAGAGCCTTGTTTTCGATTGACTTCAGGCGCTCCTCTACTTTCTCCAGGACAAGCGAATAGCCCTCGATCTCCTGCTTCTTGGCCTCTCGTTGTGCGACCAAGTTCCGGTTCTCCATGCGCTGCACGTGCACCCTGTTGGACAGATTCTCCAGCTCCTTGCGCAGCGAGTCGATCTCGCGATCCTTGAGTATAGCAGCATCAATAACTTGCTGGATCATGTTCTTCATGTCCGATGTCTCGGTGTTCAGACCCTCGATCGCGTACTCCACCTGGCGATTGTTTTCGATGACCTCGTCCAACTGCTGGTCCTGCTCCTTGTACTTCTGGGTAACGACGGCCGCCTCCTCCATCAGCATGGCGCATTCCGACTCGCTGCGCTGGATGTCATACTCGCGCTGGGTCATCTGGTTGACAGCGTTCTTCCAGGTGTCCACCATCTGACGGCGCTCCAGGTGGGCAGCCCTATAAAGGCACGCCGTCCGCTCCAGGTTCTTCTCCAGGGTGTTCTGCTCGTCGTATAATTGGACGACCAACTTGCGACGCTTGTCAATGTCCGCCTGGAGCTGCTGGCGCTTCGTGTTCAGCTCTCGGGCCTTCTGCTGATCGTCCAGATAGTACTTCTCGATCAACTGGTAGCCCTTGTTGCCGTCCTCCATGGCCTCCGTCCACTCCAGCAGCGTGGTCTTGGCGCTCTTGATGCGGGATGTCAGCTCATCGATCTCCCGTTTGTTTAGGCAGATCTTGCGCTGAGTGAACTCTGCATATTCGGTGTACTCTTCGAGCTCCTTCTGCGTCTTGCGCAGATCCTCTTTGATCTTGTTATGCTCCAGTATAACCAGTTGAACCTTATGCGCCTCCCTGACCACATCCTTCTGCATCGAACTGTACAGCGTCTGCAAGGGAGCAGAGTATTTGGTTATATTTGCAGCGCTGTTGCCGTCTACTTACCAGATTCTGCTGGATGGTTCCCTCAATGTTCTTGGTGTGCCTAACTACCGCCTGATCCCGCTCATCCAGCGTATTCATGTGATGCATCAGTTCCAGCTTGAGCAGCCTCATGCCCTCCAGCTCCTTCAGTATGGCCAGATTTTCGGCATTAGCCATGGGTATATCGGCATCCACTGTCCACCCCATGGAGGCCATTGCCTCTATCTTGAAGTCATTCAGCGATGACGTCTTCATGTCGTCCGTTTCATTCATCTTTATTGCGTATAGGGCCTGCTCGGGGGTAATATATATAATATTCTAAAACTTCTAGGATTTCCGGTTTGTATATGTATGTTTTCTTGGCGCTAGAGACTATTCTGATTTGTATTTCTGATTTTCTATTTTGTATCCATGTTTGCCTTAAAGGGAAACCAGGTTTCCACAGAACTGTTACCCAGGGAAACGTTTTGTTAGGAAAAACGGACATATTCTAAGGGATCGATTACTCGAGTGGAGCCCTTCCTTGGTTGCTATAGTATCTATAAAGAACATAAAATCAACAATCCATCAACAATAGCCACTGTGTTAACTTTCAATTCTTTTTGCTCAAAAACTGACTGACAGTTGAGCAAAGAATGATGAGACCCAGGGTCCAAAGCAATCACCTTAAGAAATTGAAATAGACAGGCTGCTTCCCGATTCTAGATTCTACTAAGTAAACCACGAAGGAGTGATGGTAGGAGATCTCACCAGTTGAGGGTGGCAATTTTTTCAGTAGAGCTAGATGATGTATTGTTCGGGCCGCAAAAGAGAATGTCCTAGAAGAGCACGCGGCATATGTATGGTCCTACTCGTATGCTCCATTCAAGTTTCCCTGACAAGAGTTTTGTGGTTATTGTTGTTGTTTTTGAACTGTTCTGAAATCCTTAAATCCTTCCCCCCACTGTTATAAACTATTGACCATATTGAAGATATTCCATTCGATCTGTACGCCTCCGCTTTGAGACTTCGGGACCTAGAAATTGCAGTAAAAATAAGATTGCATTTATTTTTTTGTTGTATTTTTATTTATTTTGCTTGTTGGTTGTTTGATTTTTCTTGTTGTTGTTGTTCCTTCTTGTTGTTGTTGTTGTTATTATTTATATAGCAATTGTTGTATTTGTTGTTGGTGTAACTACTACATAATGTAATATGTAATATTAATGTTATTTGATAATTTAATGCTAGCATGTTTGTTTGTTATATATGTAACTTGACCAGCATCCCAGGAGATGCCATTGATTTCAGTTAATAATAATTATTATTATATTATCCATATATTATTTATATATATATATTTACTTGTATCGGGCTTCGTCGTGTCGTACCCTCCAAATCAGTAATCAGTACTGCAAAAAGGTTTATGTTTCTAGATTGTAATGTAAGATCGGTTTCGCATTTGATAGTTTTTTTGTTTGTTTTTTTTTTTTTTATTAATATTAAACTGCATTATTTATTAGCTTTCCTGCTGATTCTTCGGATCCTTCCGTTTCTTTTACTACTGCTGTTTTCAGATCACACGAAATGTGCGTCTCTCTATGCTTGGGGTTCTTCTTCCAGTACAATACGTTTATGTAATATTACAATTTACGATACAATATATTGATTTCTATATATATATATATAAGTAATTTATATGCATAGTTGGTGTAAGACGGGAGGGGGATGTGGTACTAAATTCTAAACTCCAGTTGACGCGTTTTCTTTTCCTTTCGCTTTATCTTTTGCTTTTCATAGATTTTTCAAAGTGAAACAAAAACTGCCTATCTATTACTCCATTATCCATTATCCTCTGCCTTTCTTTTCACTTTTCTTTTGTAACACAGAATTTTTTTTCAATCGATTAGAAGATATATTAGATTATTATGTATTCATTAAGTGTAACTTCTCAAGGGTGGATCTCGTGTTCCTCCAAATGTCTATGCTTCACTGAATGAATCCTCATTTGCCTTGGCGCGAGATCTATCCAGAGATCGCCAGCCGCCTGCTACAACTGCTTCTACCTCCTGCTACTACTTTCTTGTAATCCGTTTATCACCCTTCTTCTACGATCCTTCGGTACTAATAAGCGTTTATGCACATGGTAGGTATGCTTAGAAATTAATTAAACTCATATTTAAACGCCAGAGCACATTGTTTGACATAACAAATAAAAATAAACTTAATGAAATGATTACCATAAGCATAAGAAAAATCCCGAAACAAATTCAACTACAACGCGAGCGTTATTCTCACATCAAAAGAATAAATTGCTCTGAATTTAAGTGGGGATGGGTGTGGGGTTGAAATTATATACCGTCTTCCGAATAACCGCTTTTCTTTAACTATGCAATTTATTTAAGAACAATTTCGTGTGTGGGGGGTGGGGTGCTTAACAGTGTCTCATGTAATTAAATGGTCGATTGGGACTTCCCTCTATTCCCAATTTCCCGAAATTTAGAAGTGTCAAAAAAAATATCCATATATTAATATTGAAATTTAGCAAAAGTGCCGAAAGCTGGGCGAATTTTTCAGAGTCAGAGATGCTACTATCGAGAGATCTCTGGAGGAAATGGAAAGAATAGAGGGACACGTGGAGGGGGTGCTGTAGCCACACGATCAGAAATAAGATTTGTGAAACGGCACCGAAACGAATTCAAAAAAGGTGCCCGTGAACTTTGGGGCGGGGGGAGGACCGACTACATATTGTATGGTATATATGTAGTATGCCATTATGCCCTGGTTTTCTTTTGTTTAGTAGTTGATTTCTTCTGGTCTTGGGTGTTGTCTTAGTTGGTAGTGTTTTTGCCGCTCTTTGCTGGTTTTGATTTGCTTAAGAGAGATGGAAGGACATGCTGCCCTCGTTGGCGGCCACTTTCAGTTTCTGCCGCATCACATCACGGTTGGAGTAGTCGGGCAACTTCAGGTAGTTGACACAGGTCATCACAGACGGTAGATAATCATTGGGATTCTGATTGCCATCCAGGGTCTTGCGCACAATGGTCAGCGGCGGGGTGAGGGCCTTGAAGCCGCCGGTGGGCAGGCGTGGCGATCCCGTCACGAACTGCAGGAAGGCGCGCTGCTCGTCGCGGTTGTACGAGGAGAGTATCTCGTACAGATGCTGTATGGCCTGAGATTCCTGGTGGAAGCCGTGATCCGTACGGCAGCTGTCCTGCAGCATTTTGGCATCCCAGCGCTGGTGCTGCTGCTCATTGGCCGATCCACAGAAGACGCACTCCAGCTCCTCGGGATAGAACATGCGCAAGCGTTGTATGGGAAAGACGGAATCGAAGCCTATCGCGAAAACCACAAGGGAAACAAGTTAGATCGACGCTCAAGGCTTCATCGCATTTGTCTCAAGGCTTACCCTCACGCAGTGCCTCAAACTGCTTTTGTACGCCCTCGATGAGGAACCAGTAGCTCACCAGGGAGATATACTGTCGCAAGTTGTGTACAGTCACGGGCGTGTCGCGTCCCCCGCGACACAGCTCAATGTTGGCGTGACCAGGCAAGACAAAGTCGAGCCCCAAATCGGCTATGGGACAGCCGTCGAGATCCAGTTGCTCAATCTACGAGTATATCCAAAATTAGAACTCTTATTTGCGGGTTCATTTGGCATCAACACTCACCTTCTCTGTCTTCTCCATGGCATCCAGGTTGGGATCGGACAGGAGATATTCGCGCTGACGCACCACATCCTGCAGACGCACCAATGTGTTCTGCACCTCCGGTGCCACACGCATCAGATCGGCCAGGCCAATCGAGTGCTCCTCGCTGACCAGCCAGCGATAGAAGGGCAACGAGAAGGGCAAATCCAACTAAGGAGAACCCACACGGTTAATTATAGTTTAGATACAGTTGGGAATGGGCCTTAAGGATATCCTTACCATGCGACTATCCATCACAGCCTTGGCCATGAACTTGCCCAAGAACTTAAACTTGGTCTTGGCTTTCGTCATTTGCGGCACCTTCGAGGACTTGCCTAGAGGCAGGGGGAACAGCCCATGCACCGCGTTCACATAGCTCATCGTGGTGGTGGTTGTGGTTGTCTGTGGGGGCTGCTCCGCTGCCACGGTGGTGCTGTTGGTGTTTGTTGTGCTGGTCGTCGTAGTGGCTGTATCGTTCTGATTCTGAACAGCCATATCACTTATTTGCTGTGCGATTATCATATTTAAAGCGTTCTCATTGGAGCCGGCATTGGAGGAGCTGTGCTCCGCCTGCTGCTGCTGATGCTGCTGTCCGGCTCCACTGCGCAGGGCGTGCGAGCGACTGCTGGAGCGGGTGGGATGTGAATGTGGATGATTTGGCGGCTGTTGGGTTGTTGCTGTTGTCGTCGTGCTGGTGGTGGTGGTGGTGCCGCTGCTGCTGACTAAAGTGGCAGCCGGCGGTGACTGATCCATGGTGGTTGCCTCGAGGGCATCCTCAATGTGAAGCACAGCATTGCTGGACTTGACCACATCCACGATGGTCACAGAGTTCTGGCGATAGCTGTCGCTGCCGTTCCAGAGGCCCAGATCCGTGCGCTGCAGCTCGGCAGATACCAAAGCATAGAACTCCAGGGTGGGGCCGAGGCCGGTGCCCACCTCGTTCTCGTACTGGATCTCCAGCAGGGCCTTCGAATGGCCAAAGTCCTGGAGGATGTGCTCGGCCTGCTTGAGGATCTCGGCCCGGGAAATGGCCCGCTTGCGGCGGTCCAGGCGCGGCGCTACGCGCTCCGATGATTCGGCGGCATTCAAGTCCGGTGTGGTGTCCAGTAGGCGCTGCAGAGCGCGGTCCCGGTCGAAGCTGGTGGCATAGAAGAGCAGATGGCGCGTCTCGAAGGGGAAGAGGAAGGGGCAGGCCATGCCGATCTGGGGCAGCCACTGGGGCAGATTGCCGGTCATGATCACGAGGGGATCCTGCAGTTGGCGATTGGCCTTGGCCGTGATCTTCGGGTGCACAAACTCCGACTGCGGAATGATGTTCTGGCGCACCACACAGCCGTACAGATGCTCCCAGTGGCGGTTGAGGGCGTGGATCACGCGCAGCATGCACAGGGCGTCCAGGGAGGCGTCCTGCACGGTCACCACGTCGGCGGGCAGCACGCTGTTGAGGAACGGCTTCAGGGCAGACACCACGCTGGGTGCGATGCCCTCGTGCCAGAGCTCCGTCTTCTTGCGCATACACTTGCTGCTCGACTTGTGCGACTTCTTCGAAGAGGAGCCGCTCGCCGCTCCCGACGAGGAGCACGAGGACGAGGCATTGGCATAGCTCGGGGTAGAGGAGCTGGAGCTGGTCGCCTGCTGCTGGTGCTTCTGGGCACTGCTGCTGCATGAGCTGCTGCTAGAGGAGGCCGGGGCTGCAGCTGATGCCTCCTCCTCCACGGGACGATAGTATATGGTGTGCTGCTGCACCCAGATGCTCGCGTTGCCCAGCAGCGTCTCCGACTCGTTGTCAGTCTCCGGCTGCTCGTTGACCAGCGGCGAGAACTGCTTCACGGCCTGGTATACGGTCATGTTGTAGGGCAGCACGTGCTCCCCGATCATGAACTGCAGCTTGTGCTTGAAGCCTGCCTGGGTCATCACCACGGCAGCCACATTGTCGTCCAAGTCATCCTCGCTGTCATCGTCAGAGTCGGCTCGAATGCCTCCATAGCCGCGGACCACCAGATAGCGTTCGATGGCCTGGACCATGGCCAGAGGATCGATCTTGACGGTGCCCCCCTTCCATTGCCGCAGATTGCTGCACTGTGGGTGGCGCTGCAAGTTGCACTGGAAAGAGAAAAGGAGGATTACAAAGGGATCCACGAGTAAGAGCAGCCTCCAGACTCACCTTCAACTGATGCGTGTTGAAGAAACGCAACGCGCTCTGATTGGATCTGCCGCCGGGACCCGCCGGGAAGTCGTGCACCTTCACAGGGAACTGCTCCAACTGGGTGACGCACCCATTAAGCTTGGCCACAAACGCCCCGAAGGCCACCGACTCGATCGCGGGCAACTGTCCCACATTCTGGGTCAAGGGTTCGAGGGGCAGTCCAGCAAAGACGTGCATGAAGCTGCGCAGACGCGCGTCGCGGTCCACCAGACCCGACTCGCTGGTCATGTAGTTGAGCATGGCCTTGATCAGGCCCGAGTGGTTCACCTCGAACGGGGAGATGTCGCTCTCCAGCAGGATCGTCTTCAGCTCGAGCAGGGCGTCGAGGCAGTCATGGTAGCTGCCGTTCAACTTCAGCAGGATGCTCGACAGACGCTCCAGGACATTGGTGCTGCCCGCCGTCGACAGCTGCGTGTTTGAGGCTGTCGAGGAGCTGCTCTCAGAGGCTGCTCCTCCGCTTGAGGCCTTGCTGCGACGCGCCTCCTGCTCCGTGTAGCGCTTGACAAAGTCAATGGCCTGCTCGCGGACCCACTGGCGGGCCCGCTCGCGATTGGCCGCCGCCAGGAGATTGGCATGGGAGATGCTCTTGCTGATGCTGGCCGCCACGGCGGCGGCATTCAGTCCGCCAACGGCTCCTCCGCCGTGCTGGCTCACCGAGTAGGCCAGGGCCGAGGCCGAGGAGGATCCTCCTACGCTGGCGTTGGCATTGCCGGAATCTTTGGTCAGTCCATGGTGCTGCAGCGCCGACTGCTGCTGCTGCTGCTGCTGTTGCTGCTGCTGGTGATGGTGGTGATGGTGGGCCGTCTGGCGGCCCCAGCGAGCCGGATTGAGCGAGGCCAAGAACGAGGATTTCGTAGAGCCGGCGTTGGTGGCGTTCCCAGCATTGAAGCGACTTTTGGAGCTTCCCGAGCCGCTGCCCGAGCTGGCTGTACCGCGACCCCCAGAGCTGCCGCCGAGACCTGAAACGAAAGTAGAATCATTTAGAATCTGAGGAGAGTGGGAAGGGAATTCCTAGGACTTACTTGTGGCCCGACTGAGCAGATCGTGCATGGCCGAACTGATGGGTGGTCCTCCTCCTGATCCGGATGCTGCTGCTGCTGCAGCGGCGGCGGCAGCTGCCACCAAGGCATCCTCCTGCCGGGACTTGGCCCGTCCGCTGCTCTGCGACTTGCGCTTGGGCGGGGCCTTGCGCTTCAGCATGTCCGTCATCTTGTGCTGCAGGGCCGTGGCTGATGACGACGAGGACGATGTCGATGAGTTGTTGCCAGCTGCGGCCGTAGAGCCGGAGGCGGCGGCACTGCTTGTGGAGGCCACCACCATCTGATTGGATGCGTAGTTGTTCTGTGCTCCCAGTGCGGCGGCTGCTGACGCCGGTGTGTACAGCATCTGCTGGGACATCTGCTGGATGCCACTGGGCACCAGGTCCAGCTGTGGCGGCGGCGGTCCAGGGGCTGCCGGCTGCTGGAAGTGCACGTACTGGCGCGGATCCCCCTGCGGCGTGGACACAAAGTAGGCGGCCTGCGGTCCGGCCGCCGTCGAAGACGACGAGGATGGGGCCGAGCTGCTGTAGTTGTATCCGGACGTGGAAGAGGAGGCTGTGCCATCCAGAGATCCAGTGGGAACCGGCACGGGCACGGGTGACGGTGACGACTTGGCACTGGCCGTGAGCGCGTTCATGGCATGCGAGAAGCTCTTCACACTGTACGACTGATGTTTGCTGCTGCTCGGCGTGGCCGAGGCACTCGACGAGCCTGGGGCGCCACTGCCACTGCCGCTGCTGCTGTCCATGAAAAAGGGGTTCACTTGCAGGCTGTTGGCCGAGGCGGGGGCCGACTGTGAGCCTCCGGCACTGGCATTGGCATTGGCATTGGCCGTGGGCGTGGCCGTGGCACTCAGGGGCTTGGGCGAGGGATTCGAGCAGATCGGATTGTTGGGGTCCGTCAGCTGGCTGAACTGATAGATGACGCCCTCGCGTCGGAAATGGGTGCCAAAGACATCGGGCAGCTGGCGCATCAGTATCTCGGCCATCTGCAGGGCCCCCACCACGATGCGGAGGTCGTTGCTGCCCAGCATTCCGGCAATGTGGCTCGAGACCAGCTGGTACTTGAGCACCTGACGCAGCAGCTCCGGTGTGGCGTAGTAGACCATCCGGAGCAGTGCCCGCAGGCACTTGTAGCGCACATTGGGCCCCGCCGAGGAGCTGTACACCTCGTACAGGACGTTGAATATGTGCTTGATGAATTCGGCGGCCAGGCCGCGCTCCTCCTTCAGACAGGCAATCCTTGCGTCCAGCGAGGGACGACGTTTCGACTGGCTTCGTGGTGGATTGTTATTGTTGTTGTTATTATTATTGTTGTTGGCATTGCTTGAGGATGTAGCTGTCGCTGTGGATGCGGATGTGGACGTCGATGCAGAGGCTGCTGCTGCCGCTGCTTGGGCCGATGTGGAGGCTCCATTTGCAGCTGGGGCTGAGCCTGCTCCTGCTGTTGCTGCCGCCGCTGAGGAGTTTGTGGTCAAATCCTGTCCGGCAGCCATGGGCGCCACATAGTTGTGATTCATGCGGCGCTGCACTGGACGGGTGGTGCCAGTGTCCTCGTTTATCTGCTGCATGGCATGAAAATCGACGGTGTAGGTGCGTCCCAGCGTGCTGAGGCTGATCTCATCCTCGCTGCTCTGGTTGGCGGCCTCGATGAGGCGCGAATCAATGGTCGAGTAGTTGTGCCAGGCGCCGCGATCGTCGCGCCACTGCCAGTGCACCTGGTCCTGGGTGTTGAGCGTGGGTCTGTCCAGCAGGGCGTCCACCGAGAAGATCCCGTCCAGGGGCAGGCGCGGCATCAGCTCCCCAATGAGGCACGTCAGCTCGTACAGCTCCGAGGGGGAGCGGGAGATGAGCTCCACGTGCGTGGCACTGGCCGCAGCCGGCTCCGCGTTCCCTGTCAGCAGGTAGAGCAGGGTGGCGGCAATGTCGTTGCGCAGCAGCGAGATGGCCAGGTCGGGGCAGCTGCCGCACATGAGGCTCAGCATTCGGACGACGGCGGTGAAGGTGCCCGTGTTCAGTATGGCCGGGGTGACCAGCAGCAGCTGCTGGCAGTTCTTGAGCAGATCCGCGCTGGCGATCTGCTGCAGGCGCTTGCTGTCGTGCTGGAAGCTCTCCACCAGGCGGCAGAAGGCCGAGCAGACGCTCTCCACGCACTTCTTGTCCTGCTGCGAGAGCAGGCGGGCGAGGTTGGGCAAACTCTCGGAGACAAAGTGGAACTCCTCCGAGTGCATGTTCAGGCAGCAGTTAGCGGTGATGGAGAGAGCCGCGCGCTGCGCGACAATCGAAAAGAAATCCAGGTAGGTGAGGCAGGCCGAGATGCCGTTGGCCTGCAGGATGGCCTTGTTGTGGCGGCGCGAAAGTATCTCGAGGGCCGTGAGACTCTGTTCAGCCACGTCCATGCACTGGATGACCTGCAGCTTTTCCAGGAACACGGGCACAGCCTCCACGACCGTGCCCGAGGAGCGGGGCAGGGCCTCCAGCATGTAGGCCAGGGCGCGACAGGCGTTGTTCATGATATCGAAGTTGTGCTCCATGCGGAGCAGATTGATGAGGGCCGGCACCACCTGCTTGATGGGGAATCCGGCCAGGGTGTCCTCGTTGCCCATCACCAGCATCTGGCACATCTCGATGGCGGCCTGCAGCTGCTGGGACTCGTCGTGCGACTGCAGTCCCTGGAGCAGCTGGTTGGCCTTGGAGCTGCTGCTGTTTCCGATCGTGCGATGGAGGATGTGAGTCATGCGGGGCCCCAGGGCGCCGAACAGATGCGGCGGCAGGCCGCGGGCCTCGAGCAGGGCCTGCAGACGACCCACCTCGCTGTCATCGCTCTCCGAGTCGGCGGCTCCATGCTGGGTGGTGGTGCTGTTCGTGGTCGAGGTGGTGGCCGAGCCAGAGCCACCGCCTGCCACTGATCCGCCGCCAGAAGTCACATTGTTGCTTTGGCTGGCTGAGCCGGCACCGCCGCTGCTGCTGCTGGTAGCGCCCACCGCGCTGGCTCCACCTGCAGACGATCCACCTCCTGTAGCAGACCCTACTGCTGCTCCTGAGGCACCACTGCCGCTGCTGCTTCCTCCTACGCCGGCTATCGACTCGCGAACGTCCCGGGCGGCACTCAAGGCGGCCGCAACGATGCTGAGGTTGGTCGAGTTGGTACCTACGATGGCATCGAATAACAAAGAAAACTCATCGTTAGAATAGTCATAGTCAGACATGACGATACGACAGGCAAGATATTTCGTAGTAAGTGAGACGTGTGTGATTGGGTTTTGAGTTTGGAGTTTTTGTTTTCAAAAAACATTCAACAGAAATTTCGAAAGTGAAATGAAAGGAAGGGGGGATTAGACAATCAAGTTTTTCCTTTTTTTTTTTCATTTTTTGTTCGTTATTTTTCTTTGGAAAATTTCAAATTTAAAGTTTGTCTCAAACTTCACAGTGTTGGAAAGCGTGGTAAACTAAGAGATGTACGAATTTCGATAGGCAAGGCAACGATCGATAAGCTGTTAATCGATTGGAGGATACATAAAAATAGAAAACGAAAAGAACTTAAAATCAAAAACTAAAAGGAACCAAACAAAAGAATAAAAACTAGATAAAATGATACAAAATAAGGCAATTAAAGCATAGTTTTAGTGGTTTTTGGTCGAATTTCGATAACAATTAAGTGTGCTGCCACCTGGAGGAAGGGGGAGGGGAGAGGGTCACCCTGTAAATGCGTGGATTTTGTGGGAGGGTTGTGTGTACAAATCAAAATCAAAGCAAAATGTGTATGGGGTGTGGGGGGTGTGGGGTGCGGGATGTACAAATCAAAATCAAAATCAAAGCAAAATGTGTAATGGGTGTAATGGGTGTGTTGTGTGTGCGTGGTGTGTGTGTGTGTGTGTGTGTGTGCAATAACTGATCGGATATATGGTTTACCTGGCGTTACTTGCTGTCCACCTGCATGCGGCGGTCCACTTGGCGGTTGTTGTGCCATCAAACTATAGGTTAAAGCATCCGAAGCTGCTAATCAGAATGTTTGTTGTTTATGCCACACGACACGACACAGGTGGAGGCGAGGGAGGAGGCGCGACAGCCACACACAGAGAGAGAGAGAGAGATAAATGCAAAACGGTATTTAGTTTTTCTTCTTATTTAACGGGAGATTGCGGATAGAATTGGTTGGAGGAGAGTGGGCCAGACACCGCGAGCAAAGACAGAGAGAGAGAGAGAGAGAGAGCCAGCCCTCGAGCGACAGTGTGAGAGTAGGACAGGGCATTGGGGGTGCAGTTCGGGGCGGGGGTGGAGGGATTGGGCTTTTTCCCAGACCATAACCAGCACCACAAATAGGAGACGAGAGACCCTATACACCTACATTTGTACATATGTATATATTTACAGCGGACCACGACTGTATTCTGGAATCATTAAATCCTAGGGCAGAGTACGTGTGTGAGAGTGTGTGTGAAGGAGGGAGGGAGGGAGGTAGAGAGCGAGAGAGAGTACGTGCATGAGTGTGTGTGTGTGTGTGTGTGTTTAGCTTATTCTTTCTGCTCACGAATGGGAAATTCCCTTCCCCCCCCGCCTAAAATAATCCTAATCCCAATCCTAAACAATGATTTGGGGCGCTTTTCCCTGCTTTCGTTTGCTGGCGGTTTCTCATCCTTTCATCCTCTTCTTCCTTCTTCTCCTCCTTCTTCATCATCATCGTCTTCTTACCACTGCTATGCGTCGCTTTGGGCCCCTGATGGATCTGTTGTTGAGTTGTCTGCGACTGTTGTTGAGTTGCTTGCGTCTGTTGCTGCTGCGAGGGGTGCGCAGGATGCGGCGGATGTTGTTGGGGATGGTTACTCCGATAGCTGAAGAGGAATCCCGGTTGCACGATTGTGGCACGCTGCTGCTGCTGCTGCTGTTGCTGGAGAGCCAAGTGCTGCTGCTGCTGTTGCTGTTGCTGTTGCAACTGTTGCTGGTGTCGCACGGCCACAACAACGGTGTTGCCACCGACTTGCTGGTACTGATAGGTGCCCGGCGGTGGCAGCAACTGCGGCTGTTGGTGTGCCTGTTGCTGTTGTTGTTGAACAGTAGCAGCAGCAGCGTTGCCGAGTGATTGGTGTTGCTGCTGCTGCTGTGCCGCTGCCGCCGAACTCACACAGGAACCCGTCTTGCCACGTGAACTGCGTCGCAGGGACGAGTGCTGCTGTTGCTGTTGCTGCTGCTGCTGATTGTAGCTCTGTTGCTGCTGCGTCGGTGGCACAAATGTGGCTGCTGTCGCTGTAGCTGTGGCGCCTCCACCACCCGTGTAGCGCGTCAGCTGTGGCGGCGGCTGCTGCTGATACAGTGCCGGCGGTGGTCCTGCCCCTGTGGAGGTATAATGATGTGGTGGCGGTTGGTGTAATACTGCCACAGAACTGTGGTAGTAGTGGGGCTGTTGTTGCTGGTGCGGTTGGGGATGATGATGATGATGCTGCTGCTGGGGCGGCGGCGGTGGCGGCTGCTGTGCAAAGTAGGGAGGATAATGCCCTGCCGCCGTGGGTGTCACAAAGGAAGACAAATGTGCAAACTGATGTGTGGGCAACAATTGTGGCGGTGGTTGGGGCGGTGCTCCAGGTGCCCCAGGTGGCTGTTGTTGCACTGTCAAGGCATATGGCGTGGCTGTCATGTGTGGCACTACTGTCGGGGGCGTGCCCATAATACTATAATCAACAATTGCATTGCTTATGTTGCCATGGCTGTTGTGGCTATTATGGCTACTGTTGCTGCGTGTGGCACGTGGCAGCATTCCGCCACCACCAGCTGATGAAGCACCTGGAGCTGGCCCCGCCCCCTGTCCATGGGGGGCGGCACGTTGGTGATAGCCTGACGACGTTTTTGCTGTTGCTATTGACTCTGTTGTAGTGGTTGTCGTTGTTGAATGCCTGCTTGCAGTTGTTGTTGAAAGCTTTGTGACAGTTGTTCTTGTCGAAGTTATTGTAAACTTTGCCGCTGCTGTTGTTGAATTTGTCGTTAGCTTTATGGCTGCACTTGTTGTTGATGAATGCTTTGCCACTGTTGTTGAGAACTTTGTTCCACTTGTTGTTGTAACCTTTGTTGGTGCTGCTGAAAGCTTTTCTGCACCTATCGCTGAATGGTGCTTTGCTGTAGTCGTTGCTGCTGTTGAAAGCTTTGTTGCTTTTGTTGTTGGTGTTGTCGTCGTGTTCTTGTCTTGTGGTTGTTTATTGTTGTTGTTGTTGTTGTTTTTAGATCCTTTTACAATTCACGTTCAGACAGAGAGAGAGATTAAGATTGAGAGAGGGAGAGTGGGCAGGGGGCGTAGAGAGAGAGAGAGAGAGAGAGAAAGAGAGAGAGAATAGAGAGTAGTGGGAGACAACAGTTAAACAGCTTTAGTCATTCATGTTTGTCATTCTTTTTGGATGGTTTTTTGGTATTGTATTTGTCTTATTTTGTTATTTCTTGCATCTACACTACTGGAGTTAGTTGTTGTTGTTCTTTTTTTTTTTTTTGTAATGTAATGCAACAAAAATATTGTTTTTTTTTTTGTATTTTTGAGCGCAGTGTGTGGATAGTAGAGTAGGAGGCAAAGGGGTGGAAGAGAGACGATGGGGACGGGAACGGGGACACTGAGCACGACTTTCTGTCGCTGACAATGATGATGTTGCTGCTGCTGTCGCTGTTGCCTTCTCTAGCTAAAGCCCGTAGCTATATAGCTGTTGATGTCACTCTCTCACACACTAATCTAAGCACGCAAAAGCGTGAACGAACCACGCATACACCCACACAAGCACAAGCACAAGCACAAGCTCCATCTTCCATATCTTTTCGTTTCCTTCAGCTAGTAGTGCTGGAAAACACCTTTGCTTCGTCGCTTTTTGTTGTTGTTACAATGTTGTTGCTCTACTTGCTTCTCTCTCTGCGACTCTCCGTCTCTTCGTCTCTCTGTTTATCGCTGGCTTTCGGTGTCGGTGTCGGTGTCGGTGCCTGTGCCACACAGTTGCCATCCGTCTCCTTCCTTTGTAAACACCGAATTTTGTTGTATTATGGTGATTACTTTTTTGTTTCTATTGCATTGTTTCCCGCACAAAAACAACAACATCATCATCATCATCATCATCAACAACACAAGAGAAGCATCAGCATTAAATATTTATGTAATACGACTCAAATCATGTTAGAAGAAGAAATGTTTTTTTTTTTAGTTGTAAAAAAAAAACCATATGACACTTTCTTTCAACAATGAGAAATTATTTTAAATGTAAAGGTTGATTTTATTTAAATTTGATTTTGAAAATAAAACAACTACATTTGCAACAACAACAACGAACGAACGTGCAAAATAAAACAATTTTGTGTGTTGTCGGCAAAGGGGTAAGGGGTTTCCGGGGTAGGGGGGGTTATTTTTAATCGTATTTGAAATGCAAAAATGTTCGTTGTTGCACATGTTTCGCGTTCTACAACGTACTCGGGGTACAGTGTGACCGAGCAGCAGTAGAACAAAAGAGGAAACAATATCCTATGGCATAGCATGGGGACACACTGGGCGGGCACGTACTACGCAAAACACTGGATTTTATCGAGCCATCGAGTGCAGAGCATAATTAAAAGTAATCAACAAATGATATATATATCATAGTACAAATAGGATGTGATGTGTGTGTGGGTGTGTGTGTGTGTGTAACAGATGTGGGGTTAAGTAAAAACAATGTGGGGCGTATATTGCAGTAGTTCGATGAATAGGCGTAAAGTAAGTGGAAAGCGTGTGGAGGGGCGGGCACAAGAGGTGGCGTGGTGGCAGCACGGAGAACTGTAGAAAAGGTTCCCCTAAATTATTCATTTCGCGCAACACAAAACTAGGACATCGTTAAATATTAGTTACGTACATACATGCAATATTCGAAGGAAGAGGAATGTCGATTGGACTAGACTTTAAGCACACGTATTTCCATTAGTGCGGAGGTAGCCGTATTTAATCAGCGGAATATATATATAGAATATGTATTGTGTTATTGTTCTAGACAGCGCAATGCACGATTCAAGACTGAGGGTCCGATTGTTTGTCGCTGCTGGCATTTGGAGTGCGTTGGCATTGCGAAAAAACAATTGGTTGGTTGGTTGCCTTTTTTGTTTTATCAAAATTGCAAAAACAATATACTAGACACTGGGGAATAGCACGGCAAGACGAGGGTGCGCACTCGTACTCGTGGAAGAAGTGCTTCTTCATATACTATGTATACGATTTATTTTGTTGTTTTTGCATTTGTCATTACTGATAAGAAATGCGCCAACTGATACACAATAAAGAAATGGAAAAACAAAAAAACATTACGAGAAAGTGCAATTCATTTTGCCCTTCGAAAGCAGTGTGGCAACACTGAAACACGAAAACGTTAGATATTCAAAGAAAAGTGTTGGAAAAGGTCCAAAGCCAAATGGAAACATGCAGGGGAAGAAGAACACAGGATACGGGGAGGGGGAGGGAGACACGACAATAGAAAGTATAAATTCGGTCTAAAAATAAAAGAAAACTGTTTACAATCTATGGCTACAACAGAGGGAGAAGCAACGGCTTACATACTACATATATACAACTGAAATATCACAGATTCAACCATATAGAATAGACATACAATTACAAGGACCAAGTCTTAGAACTAAAGCAGATGGATGCAGGATGCAGTGTGTGTGTGCTCTTTGCAAAATGTAGTCAAGGGGAGGACTCACCACCAAGTTCCCCGATCAGTTGCTGGGCAAATTCACTCTCAGAGATGTCTTCCTCCTCGAGATCCTCGTCCTCTTCAATATCGTCGTCCTCCTCGTCGTCGACGTCCTCGTCCTCGGTGATCTCGTCCTCCTCGGCAACGATCTGAGCGTCCTCCTCGTACGAAGAGTCGGCAGAGTTCACAATCTCGTAAAAGCCCACCTCCTCCTCCTCGTCTTCGTCCTCCTCCTCCTCGTCGTCCTGATCCTCCGAAGTGTCCTCTGAATGGGACGCCTCAAAGCTGTTGTTTACTCCCTCGGCGCCAGTCGTTGACGACGTTGGCTTGACCTCGGCGCTGTCCGCCGCGGACGTGCTCGGGAGCGGCAGGCTATCAACGTCCAGATTTCCGTCCTTGTTATCCACCTCCTGGTCAATTCCCCCGGCCTCCACCAGGTTCTGCTGCTGCGAGTGGCGCAAGCTCTTGCGGTTCTTCCCGTGCTTGATAATGGTGTACGAAGACGGTGACGACTTCTTCGGCGATTCGGTGGTGCTGCTCGACGCGGCCTCAATGGCCGCTGCTGCTGCAATCACAGCTGAACCGCTTGCCTGAAGACGATTCTCGCTGCTGCTGCTGCTGGCTCGCTGTTGGTCCTGGTCCTGCGGCTGCTTGGAGCGGCTGTGGCTGACCTTGCGCGTCTTGCGGTAGTAGTTCAGCAGATTGCCAGGGCGTCCGGTCCGTGTGGCTGCTGTTCCTGTTGTGTGTGCCCCGCGCAAGGGAGTGGCGCTATTATCCAGTCCTCCGCTGGACTTGCGCTTGATGGTTGCTGGCAAAGAGGTGCTACTGGGGCTGTACCCGAGTTGTCCCCGGCGTGCTGCGGCCGCTGCGCTGCTGGTGCTGGGCCGCTCCTCCGGTGAAACGGTCTTGGAGCGAGTGCGTTGGGCCACACAATCGCCGCCGGATGCCTGGCGTGTGGTTTGCTCACCTTCCCCTACGGTTGCGACGGCAGCTGCTGCTCCTCCTCCACCACCTCCCTCAAATACGGGCTCGTTGTTGTTATTATTGTTGTTGTAGGGCGTTGTCGGCTGGAGGCGTCGCTTCTTAGGCGGCGTTGGGATCTCCACCAGCTGATCTCCGCCGGGTGCCGCTGAAAAAGGCATTGGGGGAAAACAGGCCCAAAATGGGATTAATACTTGCTCGAAGAAGATGCAACTGAAACTGGGGCTGGTTATGTGGCGCCCGCCGGGTGTTTCAAATTTAGACAAACTATTTTATAATTATGCGTCGAAAATAATGCTCAGAGCTATTTCTATATATTTTAGTCGGTTGATATACTGTCGGCAGAGTGTGACATTAGTGGTTGAATGACTGATTGATTGAAATGACTGAAAACTCATTGCCAGCCACAGCCTGCTGCTGTGTTGAAGGATTTTACAGTAGTAGGTCCCCCAGGGTGGAGAGGGTTAATGGGGTCCGATAGGGTTAATATCGATTAACGTGACAAACGGACAGACGGACAATATCCCTCTCTCTGAGAGGTAGAGCGGTTACAGGACTATCAGGACTACTTACATTGATGGCTGCTGCGATTGGTTTTATCTTTCTTGTTGGTGCTGTTGTTGCTGCTGCTTTTCTGCTGCGGCTGCTGATGGTGGTGGTGATGCTGGCGCTTTCGATAGCCAGGCGATATAGATTGATCGCTATTGGCGTTCGCTGGCGAAGAGGGCGAACGTGAGCTGGTTACTCGAAAAGCGGACGACCTTTTGGCGAGCTGCGACGTCTCCCGATCCTGATCCTGATGCTGCTGATGCTGCTGCTGCTTGCTGCTGACGCGACCTTGACTGCGCGAACGGCGTGAGGCGGAGGTAGTATTAGAGGCGGCTTCGAAGACGGCTACTTCTGCGGATGCTCCAGCTGCGACGGAGGAGTTGACAGCACTGGTACTATTATTATTATTATTTGTTGTTGTTGTTGTTGCGGCGGTGGAGCTTTTTTTGTTGCGATTATGGCTTCTATTGTTGTTGTTGCGGCGCTGTTTATGCGAGCCGTGATTTGAATTGGTATTGACAGTGGCAGCACTGCAATTGGCTGCTGCTGCTGCTGCTGCTGTTGCTGTTGTGCTACCGTCGTGCTGCCCCTCCGTCAATGCAGAGAGCGATTGACTTTTAACGGATTCGGCCATAGACGACACTTAACCGCACCGGCATCGAACACACTGAACATGCCAACACACAACCAATGGGTATATTGATTTCAAAATTGTTTCACTCACAAAAATACTTGTCTAATGTTAAATATTTCAATGTTTTTTTTTCCTCGTTTGTTTTTGTTTAATTATGTATTGTTAATGCTGGATCTGGCACTTCACTTTTACAGTTGGTTTATTCCGATATTCCTTTTGCGTGCGTGCATGTGCGTGCTCGAAGGGTAGAGTTTTGTGCTGCAAAGAAAGAAAGGGACGGGCAAATAAGGTTAGAAAAAGTAGTCACGTTGCATTCGAGATGTGTGTGAGAGAGAGAGAGAGAGAGACAGAGAGGAGGGTAAGCTTTTAGAACGTGTCAGAAGTTGCTCTCCCTCCTCTCTGTGGCTCACCCTCTTAAAAATAGCCACAAAGGAGACAACGGGAGGGGAGAGAGAGTCACATTCGAGGAATACAAATTGAGACGCAGCCAGACATCAGCAGATAGCAAATAGGCAAACAGCGCAGTAGGCAGCGAAGCGCGATCAGCGGGCGCAGACAGGAAATGCTGACAGCGATGTATGTAGGTAAGAGAGGGAGAAAGAGAGACCGACTGCCGACTGCCAGCAAACCAAAGATAAGAGTGGCAACACTCACAGTTCAATGAATTAAAAAAAGAAATATAAAAACCGGCTCAGCACAAATCAAGGGTGTGCACAGAGAGGGATACAAAGAAAAAGGAACTTGGCGAAAAGAAGGAAACGCACAAAGAGCCAGATTTACAGGTACCAAGTGCAAGCACCCAGCGCAGCGGAAAATGAAAACTGCCCGAGCACAATGGAAGACACCACCAAGCGGGGAAATACACACGACGCACCACCACACTCAAAGAATCACCACGGACGGAAGGTGGGGGACAACATATGAAAACTGTAAATAAGTTAACAGCTGTTCGCCAGCAGCCAACGACACGTGCAGAGAGAGAGCGAGAGCGAGATAGAGAAAAAGAGAACGAGTGAGTCTGAATGTCAAAGAGAGAGAAGCATGGGAGAGCAACGTGAGAGTGTCACGTTGAGTGGAAAATTTTCGACACTCACTCACACTCGCTCACAGCTGGGCCAAGTCAGCTGTTTTCCGCAGTTTTGTTTATATTTTGCTTTTCGTAATCCTACGCTGCGCTGCTGCTGCCAGCAGGGTGCTTGCTGCTTTGCTCTTGTGTTTGTGTCCCCCTTCTTCCTATTTATGTGCGAGCGAGAAACAAGTTTTGACACACACAGAGCCGCGCGTGTGTGTGTGTGTGTGAGTTGCCATGCTTGTTTCGCTGCCAGAATAGAAGATGAAATGAAAAGGCAGCAAAGCAAAAGTGTCCATGTGTTTGTGTGTGTGTGTGTAGGCTGGAGAGGCAACGAATAAGACCTGAACGTGTGCTGCGGCTGCTGTATATACTGCCCTTTGCAACGTCGACGTCAGCGCAGGGCAGTTTTACATTATGTACATATAGGGGGGAAAACGTTACATATGTAAAGCGATATGAATCAAGCACACCATACCACAAAAAAGAAAAATGCGTAGTTTCAACTTGTCTGCCCTTTTACGATTCAATCTGACACGACACTGTTTCGGTTTTTCACTACCACTTTTTGTGGTTCCACATTGACAGACAATCACTCAAATTTGACATGAAACAACAACAGAAAATAGCTTAAACAAACGCCAAACATTTGCCAAAGCTGCAAATTGCAACAAAAAATAAATCGAGTTCAAGGCCATCAAAATGGGACCAGCAAACCCCCAAACCAAACGACGACGTCAGCTTTTGAGGAAAATTAGTTGTATTTGGTTTTTCAATTGTATGTCGACATTTTTTTTATCAAGCGAGAGGTGGGAGCGTGACACGAACTAGACTCAAAAAGAGATTATGTTCACTGAAGCAAGAGTACAGCAAAAGGTTAAATTCAAACTGTTCAAGAAAAAGAGTTTCGACATCATGTTGAAGGTTTTGTTATACATTAGCTTGTATGTTTATATATTTCTAACATGGAGTTATTGGATTGGAACAACTCTGATCGTGACCCACCACTAGTCTAGTCTCGGCTATAGCCTATAATGCCACAAGTTTTTCACACCAAAAAGCACAGACGAAACGAACAAAAATTACTGTGGTATATGCGAGGCCACAAATATGGCAGCGCCTTTATTTTGTTGTATTTGTTTTGGATTCGTCTGTGTGTGTGTGTGTTTGAGTACGGGTGTGTGAGACATTTCTGCTTTGCGTGTGGCAACTCCAACATATGGCGGCAGCGGGTTCAATTGTTGTTGCTGCTTTTTATCAACAATTGAAAATGGGGAAAAGTTAAGGGCCGCAAAGAAACAAAAAATAAAGGAGAAACGCGAATGTAATTACCTCTAGTATCGGGGGCTAGACTAGGCAACCCTCATGAGGTATGATGACAACCCTAAACAGCATAATTGATAAAAATTTTAAGAGTGTGTGTGTGTGTGTGTAGCACACCATGCTCTCCCTCCTCTCGTTCGTTATGCCTTGTGCGTGTTGTTGGCTTTGTTTGGAACATATTTGAATATCGTTGTTGTAAAAACTCAGTCGAGCATATTGGATAGTGTTCCCCTGTCGTTTTCTTTTTCCCCACCCTCTCCCCGTTTTCCACCATTGTTACGAAACCTGCCTACGCACAGCTGAGCGTGCGAGCGGGATGCCAAGCACTTACTCACTCTGCAGCTAACTGTAAATGGGGACATTTCAGCTTTCCTCTTGTCTGCTACCCTACTGATACATTCCCTCCCCCAAAAAAGGAATTACACAGGAAGAGAAAGCCTTAAGAAAGAACGCAATAGAAATGGTTGACTTGGCAACCAGCCCTACTACGGGCTCGCGGGGGGTGGCGATGGCCCCGTGGCAAGGCAGCGGCAACATGCAACAATTAAAGCGAAAAACCCTGGCTGGCTGGCTGGCTGGCTGCAATTGTAGTTTCTAACTCTTGAAGGTTGGGAAATATATTTCATACAAGGCCAATTCTTTACAGGGGCAAATAGGGCGAGAACGAATAGTAAAAGTTCCCTAAAAAAACTTGTTGCAAAGAGCAAGAAAAGAAAAATATAGGAAAGAGTAGTGGGAAAGAGACGGACTACAGCCTTTTACACAACACAACTCGTTATGTACACACACTCACACACAGCCACACGTGCAGGCAGCGGCACTGCTTATATACAGTTATACACACGCGAAGATGCTTTCGAAATTTACTTTAGCTGCGCTGCTGCATTTTCTAGGAAATTATTTAATTTAATTTAGATACATTACGAACATATGTATATTACAAATTTATAATATTAAAAAAAAGACTGCAATGCGGGCTGCTAGCCTTCCTACGGAATTGAACGCAGAAAACAGAAAAAGGCAGCCCGCAGCAGCGAAAGAGCGCTGGCAGAGCTGCATGTTCGAACATGTGCATGAAAGAGAACGCACGAGGGCAAGCGCATGACGACGTTACACACCAACACACTTACACACACACACATACAGACAAAGACTCGATTATAAAAGCGTAGAGAAGTAAAAAATACACAACGAAATCAAAGTGAGAAGGAAAAAACGTAATGCATACACAATTTCAACAATTTGCATGCTATCGCAGCGTAATAATTTAATAATAATTATATAAACACCAGCAGCACCTTTTTTCAGGTATGTACCCAAGTATATACAGAAAAAATATACATTCGTTTGCATTTAATTTCCTTTTCCTTCCATTTCTCTGCGTTTTCTTAATTTTTAAGGCACAAGACACGATATCAAGACGAGGAGGGTGTTGATTTATAATAATTCGAGACGAACCGAAAACACCGATGCCTGCGAAGTGGGTCCAAAGAAAAATGTTTTTACCTATTTATTTATGTATTACTTTATGTTCGACGAGCGGAGCGCAGCAACCTCGCAGCTCAAAAGTGGATGAAATATTGAAGAAACAGATTGAAACATTGACGAAACTCTCTGGGCTGGCTAAAACGTTTTTACTTATTTATTTACTTTATGTTCGACGATGTTGCTCGTGCTCATGTTGCTGCTCACTGCTCGGCACATGTGTCTGGTCCATACAAACTGAATGTTGCCAGCAGCATAAAGTGTAAGTGAGTGTGGAATGTAGGGACATTGCTGCGATGCAAAATCCCTTGACGAAGAGAGGATATCCCACCTAGAAAATGAGCAGATCCCAACCGACTGCCAATTTTATATATTGAGGAGATTGATAAAATATATCATTATAACTGGGACTCAATTTCGACGCCAAAATGGATGGAATATTAAAGAAACAGATTGAAACTCTCTATCTTTCTCTCTTAAAATTCCCGTCCTTAACAGCTCTCAGAATTGAGTTGCAGTGCTTTGTTATGTTAAAATCTATGCAGGGATGACAGTCTAACTTTTTCCCGTATATATTTTTGTGTTGACCAACATTTGTACAAAAATTAAGTTCAATTTTAAGACGAATTTCCACTATACTGCATGTATTATATATAGTTGCAATTGCACCGCGTAATCCCTAACATAACAGTTTTTATTTAACATGAGTGAGTTGGTTGGTTGTGCTCAATTCCATCGAAACAACAAACTCATGTTAAGCGAGAGAGAGCGCAGTGCAGTTATGGCTACGACTGGGAGCGAGAGAGCATTGAGTGGAACGAGTAGCGTTTAATGAGAGCTGTTCTGTGAGGGGCAGCCGGTGTGATTTATTATTTACCAATTTTTAATAAAACAAAAATACTTCTTTTAATAAAAATATAGTATTGGATACATCAGACAATACATTCCATTCCTGTTGAGTAAGTGTCACTTGGAGTGGTTTTTAAAACAGGTCACTCAACCCCTGATAATGAGGTCAACCAACTCTCAATCATTGGCCTGGTCTCCAATATACACGCTAGTCAGTGCCATGTGTGTCATTGTGGTAAACTAATTAATTAAAAACATACACAATATATAGAATGTACAAAAATAAGCTGAAATTCCTGATTCATTTGCACTCAAAATGGCTGTGTGACCAGGAGAGAATGACAACGGAAGAGACAAAGAGAGAGAGAGAGAGAGAGAGTGACTGTCAGCAATTATATTATACTTGGGGGTTGGTTGGCCGACACTCGCTGCTCTGTCCGGCTCTTTCACTCTTGCTGCTTTCTTTAGCTCTCGCTTCTGTTCCTTTTACCTGTGGGTCCGTCCGTTATATCAGCTGATCGAGTTGCGAGTGAGAAAGAGAAGAGTCTCACTCTGTCTTTCACCAATTTACGAAAAATCTAATAGGGTCGTAGCACCATATGTACTCAGCTGACCTCGTCTCTTCTCTCATTTGAAACATTTAAGGGAAAAAGAAGCCACGTATCTACCACACCACGACGATGCATACAAACCGAACCACCACACTATCAAGGGCTGCCATTTGGCTGATAAAAATGGTCGGCCATTTGTTTAGACAACGATAACACTGTCCACCAAAGCAGGGGGCAGAATCGAAACCAACTTTTGACCGCAATCATGAAAGTGAGGGAAATACATACTCAGATAAGGAAACATCTGATTATAAACATTCAAGCACCATACATATATGTTTTAAGTTAAATGTGCATTATGCTGGCCTGGCCTCAAAATCCAAACAGCTGTTGGGTCTGTGTACACTTTCAATCATGCTGCGATGGAGGATGGGGAGAGTATTTGAGCGGCCCACGCAGAGAGCTGCTCAACAACGTCGACGTCGCTGCTGACGTCTCAGCTGGCCTAGTTGACAGCAAGACAGCGTGCAGCGGGCAGCGCTCGCTCGCTCACCTGCGTTGGCGTCGACGTCGCCTTCCCAGAAGCAGAAGCAGAAGCAACAACAAAGTCAATTGCAAGTGTGAGCAAGAGCAAACATGTGCACGATGTTTCGAAAAAACCAACAACAAAAACCAGTAACAACAATGCCAAATAATGAATATGCATACTACACGTATCACTCACTCCTCTCGCACACACACACACACACACACACACAAGTGCAGGCATACACACTGCAAGTGCAATGGAAATTCAGCTCTCAATGAGAGGAGAGACGCGCAAAATGGGGCCACGGCTGCTGGCAAATTTGGGGCGAGAATAAGAGTACCAGAGGAGAGACTTTCGCTTATCGATAACACAAAAAGGGGAGTATATTTATTCGGCAACTATCGACTAACTAAACTAAATTATTATGGCCTTTGTGGCTCACTGGCAATGCAATTCTATGCACAAACAGCGGGCAGAATGGAGTGCAGCACCACATCCTCACGCACATCGATCTGCAGGTGAATCGAGTGCTCCCGATCGATGCCGATGGTCAGCTCCTCGTTGGCCAACTGCAGGGCCCCAAAGAAGGCGGAGGCTTTGCGCGAATCCACCGAGCAGGAGGCCTCCCGCTCCTCATCCGCCGACAGGAAGCGCGGAAGGAGGCGCCTGAAGCGACTGGTGACCGTGGACATCTCGGAGGTGGCCACCACATTCAGCTCCCCGTCATAGCTGGCCTGGAACTCTAGGCTGGGCGACACATTCTTTAGCTTGTCGATCAGGCTCCGCAGCAGGCGGAGCGAAGGCAGGCTCAGGGCCAGCTGGGAGGCCGGCACGCGGGGCACCACATAGGTGGGCCAGTCGCTGGCGGGGATTATGGTGACGGGCACGTCGTGGACTACCTCGCGAGCCTCCGTCGAGGAGGTGGACAGCACCGAGGCGATCACCGATATGCAGGGAAACTGAATCCTCTGCAGCTTCAGCTTGCAGCTGTTGACGCCTCCGCCACGAAGGACGGACAGAGCTCGGCCCAGATTCGCCGAGGACATGGTCAGCACAATATATTCCTGATCCGCGCGGGCGGCCTCCATCTTGTACTCGGGAAAGTAGTCCCTGGCCGCAATGCTCACCCACACCAGCGGTGATGACGTGGAGCTCTGGTCCTCGTTCACAATGAAGTGCATTTGCTGTGCTCCCAGTATCATGATACAATCCTTGGCTAATTTTGCCAGGGTTGCGATTATATTCTGGAGTTCTCGCATATACAGCGGATCCTGCATCAGGGCGCGGAACTTCATCTGCACAGCGGGAAGCGATATCGGTACCAGGAGCAGGAGGCAACACAAAGAAAACGGAAAAGGAAAAAGAGAACAAAACAAAAAAAAAAGGAGTCAAACACGGCTGCCAACAACAACTACAGCTCCTCTGCTCTGGTCTCTATCCACCGATCCCTTTTCCTCTCTTTCCCTTCATGGGAAAAACGAGAGAAGAAAGTTCGAGAGCGGATTTTGCATACTCTACGACGCATTTTTAGCATACACATATACATACTCTGTGAAAACACAGTTCAGAGAACAACAAAAACGAGACTATGGTCATCTCATCCCTGTCAACGTGGTGGACCTCTCTCAGAAGAGACAAGGGAGGCTAATCTACCCACACAACTGCACCAAGAGTAGAGAAACTGTTATACCCGAAACAGAGTTAGAGAATTGCCAACAAAATCAGACCCTTTGATGAGAGAAGGGCAGTGAGTGGAGTGGAGGCGGCAGCAGCTCTGTCGTTCTCCACTCGGCGGCGGCTCAAAACTCATGGAGTTCAATGTACACACACCACACCACACACACACACACTCTCACTCATCAATCGCACACACATACACAGGCACACACACACCACTCAAAGAGAGTCAGCCAGGCGATGGGCAAACAAAGCGCAGAGCAAGTTCCGACTTGTGTTTTGGCTTTTTGTTGTTTTTGTTCTTTTCTTTTTTTTTTTGATGGAGCAAAGCGGTGTGCAAAGAGCAAACGAAACGCAACTCGAACGAAATTAAACACACATACACCATGTACACATACAGATACACAGTGCCAGGTTCTCTCCTCCTTGCATACAAAGTCATCATCAAGAGCGGCAGGCAGGGCCGACAGACACAACAGGATTTTTTTATTCGCTGCGCTGGCTAGCAAATTAAAGGAGAGAGGGGAGAGTAGAGAACGGACTGGCAGAGGAGTTGTGTGGTTTAAGGAATGGGGCTGGGCAGGCTACGGCGAGACAGGCGAGGCGGCAGGCAGGCCTCCAGGCACAACTCTCTCCCTCTCTCACTCACACACTGATAGAGCGGGATGGCAAGGGAAATCAAATTATGTGGCCCGACCGTAGGCGTCGAGTCTTGCATAGGGAGGGGGAAGAGGCCCTGCTCCGGCTTGGGGGTCAAAATATTTTCCTTTCCTGCAGTTCAATCAACTTTCAAGGTTGCCTTTGGTCTTCAAGACGTTATCAGGCGGCCATTGTTCTAGAATTGTTCTAGAAGATGTTAGAAGCTTGGAAATCCAATAATGACGTCACACGGACCTTTCTAGAAACGATGAGTGTAACACGGGGACTCGATTCTACATGCGCAAACAGCTAGTCGATAATGATAGTACTGCAGACAGTGTTGTCCACTCGGAACAGCTGTTATACACCACCCATGACGTCACATACTTCATCTCTATAGCTTATTTCATCCAGACACGCAAGCATACACATTCCTAGAAACACTCATTGGTCGAGAGATGTTCTCACTCATTTTTCTTTTTTGCTGCATTACTTGCAAAAAAAATAATTTGCCCGAGCACGAGGCGTAGAGCTGCCAATTGTGCAAAAAAAAAAAAAAACCTTCGCCAGGCCCCAAAAACGAAACTCAATGCAATTTCGAATATATTAAATGGCCAAACAAATATGTAGTATATGGAAGAAAGAGAAGAGAACAATGCCAAAATGCTGACAAGAGGCCAAAGAATTAAATAAATGCTGTGCTTGGAAGAACTATCACTGTCTCCCTCACACACGAACGCACAAATCACACACACACAAATGAGAGTACACTCTTTTTCTCTGCCCCCGCGGGTCTTATGAAGTTTGCAACACAAAAATAAAAGAGAAAGTAAAAACTTAACAAGATGCGTATAGGCCCTAACCACAGCAAGTGGAAATATCAATTCGAAATAGAACAAATAAAAAGAGAGCACATACATTCCTGGATACCCTACACTACCCGCAGCCGCACTTCTGCTGCTGCTGAAAAGCGTTGCCAGGCAGGATTGGACAGATATTGTACAGCCATGTGACGACGCGTCAAGGCATTATTCCAGACGGAATACTTGTTACCCAATGCATAATGTATACAATGACCAATAGGTTTTCCTTGGGCTATTTCCACAGGGGGGCCTGACTGTCCGAAGGGGCAGCCATTGTAAAAATCAATATCAAAATATTACCCACTCTTAAATCGCAATGTATTACGTTGAAACTTCACCGAGTCTGGATGATATGTTAAGGAGTACTTGGGACACGCCTTTAGCAACCATAAATGCACTCGAATTATTACAAAATTGGTCGGAAAAAGTAATACAAGAAAAATGCAAATGGTCGACATTTTGTTTTCTGTCTCGCTGCTGCTTATTTGACGAAATATGTATGCCCGTATGAGAATGTATGTGTATCTCGTTTCCTGAGACTCTGCCCAGCGGAGGCCCCACTTTCAGCCGCAGCACCCACAACTGCGGATACTGCAATTTACATAACACATTTGGTCTATTCACGTTTCCCTGCCATTCCACTTACCTTTGAGCTAGTTTTTAATTATTATTTGCACAATTTTCACAGATTCCCCGACCTCCGACGACCCGAGCAACAGTGTGACCGCGGACTTATCGTTAAAAATTATACGGTCCGACCCTCAGGAATATACCGAGGCATACCGTCTTACTTTAAAAATAGACCGTAAATATACTGACGAGCTCATGTTCTATTATACATATTCCTCAATTTTTAGATTCCGTGGCATATTACCATCTATATAGAACATTAAGCCATGTCCACATAATTTTAACCGATTAATGACTCAATTTTCTACTTAACTGGCTTAATCTAAATACTTGCTTTTATTGTATTTTGCGTCAAAAGAGGTTCTTATTGTTAAATTTTGATATTCCGTCGAATAATATTAGCTAGATATAACATTCAGCCATGTCCACATAATTTTATCTGATTAGTGAAACAATTTTCTACTTGACTGGCCTATTCTAAATACTTGCTTTTATTGGATTTCTATATACCGTTGAGAATGAAATTTAATAGATTGATGAAATTGACAAAATATAGCATTATAGACCGATATACCGTAAATATACCAGCGGTTCAATTTTGGACCTAAAAAATACCGAAAACTATTGCAAATACCGTAAACGGTTACCCAGCCGAGCAACTGACATAAATACCGAAATATACTGTAAACTTATACTGTACACTTCAACAGGATAACAATTTGATATAAACCGCGGAAAATAATACTAATAATAATACTTCTTATAGATCCATCTTGTCTTTCCTATTTACCTACAAAACACCCCACGATATCTTTCACCTGGACTGCGCTACAGTTCTTTACGGTTCATTGTTGGTCTACAATCGGTTAATAGATCTCTGTCCATGATCGGGAACCATAGTCCTCGTTTTTGATATTCCGTCAGATATTACTAGCTTTATAATACCTCAGCCCTGCCCACATAATTTTATGCGTTTAATGACTCAATTTTCTGCTTGACTGGCTTTTTTTTACACAAATAAAACGTAAGTGAGTAATTCCGTTGTATAATGTTGGCTAACTAAGACTCTGCCCACATATTTTCATGCCATTGATGAATAAATTTTGTTCAAGATTAATTACTTTTAAGTACTCCTTTTTTATTATATTTTGACTAAAACAGTTGAAACAAAAAATTTCAACACGTCAATTTGAAGACTTGTTGCTTATCAACCGGAGTATGGGCATTTGTATACCCCATTTAGTTAATTTTATGTGAAGAAATTGTTTTACAAACTGTATTTGAAACGTAAATAATAAAGAAATTTTCGTTAATCATTTGATTAGTTTCGTGTATATATCCTGATCCCGATACTCATTCTTGGTCTCCATAAGAAAACAATAAACTGCAAAATATCCTTTTAATAGCTTTGAAACAGAGACTGACAGTTTCTGCATATATTGGAGCCTGCGACGACAAACATTTCCTCCACTCCACAATATCCTTTTTTCCAGGGTATGCAGAATGCGGACTATGTTGCGGGACAATGCTGCTCGATATCTCAACACATGAGTCTGGGCCCTACAAATTGAATGTTGCAAACAGTGAAACGGGATTTGCAAAAAAAACATGCAGCAACATGTCCTGAAATGCATTTTTTAAAAAATAACGATTTTTTTTGTAGTATTCCGGCATGTCAAACAATTGTGACGATTTTAGTTGGTTGAAAAGAAAAATCGCGGTGTTTCTGTTTCAAAATCGTTTCAGTTATTAAAACCGTTCAATAACCGAAAAAAATTTACATATATGGATATATTATGTGTGGTGTATATCAAATACATATTAAAAGTAACTAACTAAGTAATTAATACCAATTATAGCCCGAATTGCTCCAGCTTTCGGCTATTAAAATCGCTCAGCCTGAATGGCATAACAACCAAGGGCAAATTTTCGTCGAAGAATAAGAAAGCAGTTCGGCTATCATTTTTAAGTTGAGAAATATCCAAAAATGTATTTGAAATTGAACTCTTCTCCTTTTTGTGGGAACGACTGTGGAGTATTAGCTGGACCTTCTTTGGGACCGTCTTTGGACAGTGTATACACTGGTAGTGGAGCGGTGGTGGTCCGGCAATATTTGGCGCTGGATCCTCCTCCTGCGCTACTACCCTGATGGTGAAAGGCCTCTTCATCAGCGGCGTGTCGGGGGTAATGGTGTTGCCCATCTCCTCCAAGTCCCCGTCCTACTCGCTTTTGATGTTTGTTAAGTCCAAGTCGTCGGTCTCGATGATCTCAAAATATTCCGCCGCAGTGTTGTCGTTTTCAGCCTCGTTAAAAATCGGCGCAGTGGAATCAACAGCATCGACATCTATCTCGTTCTTCACGTTTACAGTCTGCTCCTGGGCCGCGTCATTTGGAATTATGGAAGTCTGCTCGTCAGTTGGTTCTCTCTTCACTGGTGCATGCCTCCGCATGGTCCGGCTGTACCTACGCTTGAATCGATACGCATTCCGCAGCGCCTTAAAGCATGGCTCGCATAAATGCTGATGATGGCCGTCTCCTTCATCCACATTCAACCCGGTGCACTCCTTAATCATATTGGCCGGAATGTCTTCCGGCTCGTAGGGCAAGCTCTCATCGTGTTTCTGCTTGGCAAAAATGTCCACTGGAGGCTCGGCGTCTTTTAGACAAATTCGGCAGCACATTTTCTTTAAATCGTCCATGTTTTCGCTTCCAATTTATTCCAATTTATTAGTCAATTAGGTGTTTGGTACGCGCTGTTTTCTTTTTCAAAGAATTTGTAAATGTCATTATATTTTCTTAGAGATGGGAAGTTTTGCCTTGTTGCATTGTAAGCGCCAAATCGCGTAATCATTATCCAATACTCTGTTAATCCTCTACGGCCCAAGAAACTTGTTTGCACTTCTACGTCGCAAAGCGTCGAGTTACTTTCGCTGTAAAAGTAATCAATTCGATTCAATTAGATTATAAAGTTTATAAGTTTTAAAAAGACGTACTAACAAAATTTAAAAAAAACGTACAATACAATCGATACCATCGAGTCTGCTATCGATGGATGGAATGCAGCCCTAGTGAGTATCGATGTCTTTATTTATTTAATTGTTTTCTAGTTTGTTTTTCATCCGAAAATTCGAAAATCCGAAGTTTAAGCAACATATTAAACTGAATAAAGTGTCCTTACGTTAAATTAGAGTTTTAGGCATAAAGTAAAGTAAGCTTAAAGTAAGATTACAGGTGCACACACCCACAACGCCCACCCCCAATAGGAAAGCGCCAACAAATGCAATAGGTCATAAAAAACGAATCAACTTCTTATCAGCAGAAACAACAACAAAAGACAGTAAGTGATATTAATTAAAGTCAAACAGAAAAACGTTCGCCCCGCTCACTTCACTTGCTCGTCAGGCCCAATCCGCCCGAGCAGTGCGGAGGAAAACATTGCTTGCGGAATTTCTGACGTGTCACAAGTGCTCAACAGAACAGACCTTAACATCAAACGGAAATGTGCGGCTCTCCCAACACAACTGTCGGCAATGGCACCCGTGCCCTCATCTTGGTCGGTGGCTATGGCACCCGTCTGCGCCCGCTCACCCTCAGCACGCCCAAGCCTCTGGTGGAGTTCGCCAATAAGCCAATTCTGTTGCACCAGCTGGAGGCACTTGTCGATGCCGGCTGCCGTCAGGTGAGTGAGCAATACTATGAGTAATATATTTATATAAACCAATAATTGGCTCATTCAGGTCATACTCGCCGTCAGCTATAGGGCTGAGCAAATGGAGAAGGAGCTGAAGGTGGAGGCAGACAAACTGGGCGTGGAATTGATATTCTCCCATGAAACGGAACCCCTAGGAACAGCAGGACCACTGGCCCTGGCCAAATCGATACTGTCTGCCAGTCCCGAACCCTTTTTTGTGCTTAACTCGGATGTGATCTGTGATTTCCCCTTCAAGCAGCTGGTGCAGTTTCATCGAAATCACGGCAAAGAGGGAACAATTGTCGTGACCAAGGTGGAGGAGCCTTCCAAATATGGTGTGGTGCTGTACGACGAGGACGGCTGCATAAAGAACTTTATCGAGAAGCCGCAGGAGTTTGTCAGCAACAAAATCAATGCCGGCATCTACATCTTCAATCCATCGGTGCTCGAGAGGATTGAGGTCAAGCCCACATCCATCGAGAAGGAGGTATTTCCGGCCATGGCAGAGCAACAGGAGCTGTATGCCATGGATCTGACCGGCTTCTGGATGGACATTGGGCAGCCCAAAGATTTTCTTACAGGTAGGATGACTCACTGAATTACTGGTGGTGGACTGGGTCTCGGCGCCTATCTTCAATTGCCTCATTACCCTTATCGCCAACCGTAGTGTCGTGCGTTCTTTAATCATGTTTTGGTTTCTTTCGAGTTTGATTTATCTTTTCCTTATATGTTTCTCGGAAGAGCTAATACCGCGTAGAATGTTTGATAGAGCGATTTTTGTTTGAGTGTTTGAGTGGAGGCTCATTACGTAGATTACGCGCGTGGGAAGACCCCTGCTCCAGATAGGAACAGAAGACAATTATTGATCTCCCTCTTCCTGCATATCTCTTCTAGGCATGTGCCTCTACCTGAGCTCGCTGCGTCAGAAGCAATCACCGAAGCTGTACACTGGACCAGGAGTCGTCGGCAATGTACTGGTGGATCCCACAGCCACGATAGGCGAAGGCTGCCGCATTGGGCCAAATGTAACCATCGGACCGGATGTAATCATAGAGGATGGGGTGTGCATCAAGCGTGCCACCATACTAAAAGGTGCCATTGTACGCTCCCACTCCTGGCTGGACTCCTGCATCGTAGGCTGGCGCTCGACCGTGGGTCGTTGGGTGCGGATCGAGGGCATCACAGTGCTGGGCGAAGATGTGATTGTAAAGGATGAGCTCTATGTGAATGGGGGCCAAGTGCTGCCCCACAAAAGCATCGCGGCCAGTGTGCCCGAGCCACAGATCATCATGTGAGAGGGATCTTCCTCACTTTAAGCTGTAGTCTAAGTATGAATTAGTTTCGTTTCGGTATTCGACATTTGTCCACACGAATTGCCTTCTGTTGCCACTGTCTGTCCCCCGAATGAAAGTCCTAATGTTTAAGCCAAACGATTTGCAATATTCTAAACAATGAACGAGAATCAATGAGAAACATTTCCAATTTAGCTTTGCTATTCTATATAAATTAAGGCACCATTTCCTCTTGGGGAATCTTGACTTATAGTCTGAGTATAAGTATATGATCAGCCGAACCTTTTCTACTTTGATACGAGTAAGCAGAGCATAAGTTTTGTACTTATTATTCTACAGTTTAGTCAAATATATACGTACATATATGTATGAAAATACAAAATTTAGAATTAATTGTTCTAAATTCTATTCAAATAGGTCATTAGGTGGAATGAGGAGGTAAAGCATTTCACTGGGAAGTTGCTTCCAAAGGAAGGAGGATCGTGTGCTTACCGTCTAAGGGACGTCGGGTAATCTTTGCTGGCAACTTGGTCGTACAGGCTTCCATCACTCATGTCAATATATATTATAAATTATATTTTATAGGATACATAAATCATAAGGCTACATACATTTATAATTAACTCAGTATCGGGTATGAAATTTTATTCACAAGGTTCCCGCTCGTATATTGCTGGACTGCCATCAAAATCGAAACATAGTGAAGAGATGAACAGACTTGAGATTTTTGAATTAAAGCTACATCGTAGCTTAATTGAATGAAAAGCTTCTGTTAAAGGCAATAATAACCTTTCAAAGGGTATACAAAGTTGCCTAGCAACGGTTTTAAGGAGGAAGACACAACAAAAGTGGAAATTTCATTCTTAAAATGTTGAAATCTCTGGGACAGACCGATGGCCAGCAGCCACAGCTGCAGCTTCTTTGGGAGGACAAGGATGTCAAGTTTGATACGCCTCATCTGTAAGTCATCCAGCGAGAGAGAGAGAGAGAGAGATGGAGAAGAATCCCCAGCTATCAGTGGATATGTATATAAATTCCAGGCACACTCGACTACGCACCGGAGAGAAGGTGCTGGACTACATCTATCACATTGAGGACAGCAAGGGAAATCCCGGGGACACGGGCCGCCTAATGGTCACCAATCTTCGAGTGATTTGGCATTCCTTGGTTCACAAAAAGTACAATTTATGTGAGTAACTATGCTGGGATTCTAGGACATCAGACTGAAGGCGCTCTCTCCACTTTTCAGCCATTGGGTTTGCTAGGTTTGGAAACACCAATACCCGCATTGTGCACATGCACTCCAAGGGCAGGATGCCCAGTCAGGCATTGTACATTCTGGCCATCAGCAATGAGACGCGTTTCGAGTTCCTCTTCACGGATGTGTCCGGGGAGACGGCGCGCCGTGAACAGCCCATCTTTGCCAGCGTCTTTGATGTGTATCAGTAAGTGGAATACGGGGCAATCTCTTATAAAACTCTCTACACGTCAGATGTTTCTCATTTCCCTGTAGATTATATCAACGCACGTATCTCTATCGCGACCTAAAGCTGCGAGGAGCCATCGTACTCTCTGGACAACTGATTATCCTGCCCGATGAGCAGGTCTATAGCCAGGTACAGGGCGTCTGGAATCTATCCAGCGATCAGGGAAATCTGGGCAGCTTTGTTGTCTCCAACATACGTCTTGTGTGGTTCGCTGATGCCAATGAGACCTTTAACATCAGCCTGCCCTATCTTCAGATTGAAAGCGTGAGTGTAATCATCCTTCAGGCTCGAATCTTCCCAATCTCCCACCGCATTTCCCTTTCCAGCTACGTGTCCGAGAGTCGAAGTATGGTCCTGCATTGGTCATCCAAACGGCCGAGACTGGAGGCGGCTATGTACTCGGCTTCCGCATCGATCCCGCCGACCGGCTGAACGAACTCTTCAAGGAGCTCTGTTCGCTGCACACCGTCTACATAGAGCAGCCGAACTTTGGGATCCACTACGATGCCCAGGATGCACGCCAGCGATTGGCGGATGCCGCCGAGGAGGCGGCCCAGGCCACGCAATTCAAGATCGAGAATTTCGAGGAGCTGGACGAGCGGCAAGAGCGCGAAATCAATACCAAACTGAATAGCTATCTGGCGGAGGGTTGTGTGTCGAACAGCAATACGGATCAGTCGGACAGGGAGCCGGTGTATTGCAAGGAGCTGGGCTTTGCCATGGAGCGCATACGGGAGGGATACAAGCTGCAGGATCTGTGGAATGTCATGCCCACCAAAATGGAGACTTTCGAGGAGTGATCTGGAAGAGAGATCAAAAGAAATATAGACAGAAAAGTCATTTGAAAGAATGGCAGGTAATATTTACATAAATAGAAGTATATTATTGAAAACAAACAAGATTTCTCTTAAGTTAATAAAGTATAGATTAGATTGAAATATACATTGGAAAGCAAAGATTTAACTAAAGATTTTGGAAAGATAAATTTAAGGGTAAGGGCATTCAGCATGAAATCCAGGAAAGTTCAGTCGAAGCCGAAGACAATGTTAATACAGATAATAAGGAAGGATTTCGTCAAAGATTTCTGTAATTAAAAGAAGATTTCTTCTTCCAGAACAAAAATTGAAGTGAAATTGATGATACGAAATGATTTAAAGAAAGAACATTTAAGGAAACTGAATGTTTAAGGACCGTAATTGAAATCATTCATTGGATCGAAGATTTCGCATATTTCAAGAAAAGATATTGAAGGAATAGCAAGGTATAAAAAAAGATTGAAGATGGAAGCACACTTATGTCCGTACATCAATCAAATGGATAGTGTTGTAAATATTTTTAGGGATTTTTATTGACGCATCGCATACAACTCGCTGTGTGTTTAAGTAATTTTGCTTTTGTTTGGAATCTCTGGAAATTGTCTTTAGCTTAAGGCTAATTCTTTATAATTTTTCATGGTTTTTGTTTTGAAAATTTTAATTTTGGATTTTGTTTTTTTTTTCCTTCACTACTTTTTAATGATATCAACGTTTTCTGCATCTGTTCTGCTATGAATGTGGTTTCTGCGAGACTGAGAGTGGGATGGATATGTGTTGTCTGGGATCAAGCAATTTATCATTTGGGGGGTCGGTTGGTTGGTTGGTTGTCTTTTGCTTGGTATTATAAATTAGTTCATATCACAACACACAGTTGATTTGACCTCTAAATATATGTATATGCTGCTCTTACAGATAGATTTAGGTAGTATTATATTATTATTATATTTAGATTAATGAATGGATCGTTTAGTTTTGTTTTTTGTTTTTGTTTTTTCTAAGCTATAAATTCTAACAAACTTAATTAAAGTAGGAAAATTAATTGTAGTTGTGGCGTTTACATGATCTTTTTCATCTTCATCTGTTCTTCACCTGTTCTCAATTTTCTCCTAACTCTCTCTCATATCTCGATATCGATATCTTTTTGCCTCAAAGGCCAACATATATAGAAAAAAATCGAATCGAAAGCATTGCAATTTTTCTGTTTGTACATCGAACAAATACAAATAATCATAATCATGGTTACAACAAAATAAAATAAAATAAAACACTTGTTCATTTGAAATATGAATATCAGGAATGGCTTACATTTTACATGGTTTTGTTTCTTTATACATTTAATACTTTTTCTGCTTAAAGTTCTTCGTTTTAATGAGGACTGTGGCTAAACATAAATTCTTGAATCTTCTGTTTTCTTTTTTGCATACATATCATTATCAGTATCATATCATATATTCGTTATTCGTTAGTGGATTCTTTGTTGTTATATCAGTCTTGAAGACCAAGTCATAATGATTTTGATGCCGCAACATATATATCTAGTATCTACTCAAGGAAAGTGAAAATGGGGGAAAGTATAGCCTGGATCTTTCTCTTGAATGTGGGGAAAGTAAGGCCTGGATGTCTATCTCTCTCAGCCCGCTCTATGGCTGAAAGTAAAACCGAATATCTATCGGAAAGTGGTAAAGCCTAATCTTCTCTAGAACAATGCATTGAATGGCAAACTCTTAAACAAAAACCTTTCGGAGAAATGGTTCTTACAGAATGGAGATGGGTTTACATTACACTCCCACTTTTACAGAACAATGCCACACGAATAGGCGCTTTCGAAGACGACTTCGCCATAAACAGTAACTAGAACCAAAAGACTTAGAACTTGGAGAGTTTTCCCATTGTTGTTGCTGCCGCATCGGATTACGTTCCACTGAACGAACATCCGAGATGATTGTAGATGAAACTTAAGTGCTGCCACTATGGCAGCTGCTGGCGGAGATCTGTTTACGGGCCCGTTGACGCGTCATGGGTGGCGAGGGACGAGCTGGAGAGGAGCCACGACAGCTGCGTTTTGCGTTTTGTGGGCCTTCGGCTGGGGCCGTCTTGCGTTTACCCCGTGCGCGGGGTGCTCTTCCCGGAGAGGTGGATGTGGTGACTGGTGTGGGATTGGCAGCTGCGGGAGCTGCGGCACGACTGCGTTTCGCTGGTTCCCTTTTCGTTGATGATTTGCGTTTGCCAGGCGCCTTGGATGCTTCATCCGGCGAGGTTGATGTGGCAACGACTGGCGTGGGATTGGCAGCTGCAGCACGACTGCGTTTCGCTGGTCCACTCTTTGTGGCTGCCCTGCGTTTGACAGGAGCTACAGGTTTGGCTGATACTTCTTCTGGAGAGGCTGATGTGTTGACTGGTGGGGGCGCCCCAAAAGCAGCAGCAGCTCTTGTGCGGCGTCGCCTGGCTGTGAGCAGCGGACCGCGACGACGACGCTTTGGCTTGGGCTCGTCTGCGCTTGTGCCTGAGGTGTGAGTGTTGTGTGAGCGAGATCTGCTCCTGGTGGCGGTGCCGGCGGCGGTTGCGGTGATTGCGGCGGCGGCGGTGGTGTTGGGGCTCGCTATATAGGGCATCGGCACAAACGCCGAACCTTTATGCGGCAGCAATATCACGGAGCTGAGGAACCAAACAAAAGACTTACTCAAGATGGTGCTCCTGACGATTATGCTCAATACTCACCTAGGCTTTGGTTTTTGGAGTGACTCTGGATCATCCTCGTCGTCGTCCTCGTCTTCGCTGTCATTCACGGCGGGCACAAATTTGGGTCGTTTCAGTTCAAAGCCGCGGAATTTGTTGCTGCCAGAGCAAAGAGCGATAGAGATTTTGAGTATATTGTTTGATCGATTCCGAAAAATATATCTACAAGACTTACATTTTTATTGGCGTTAAAGGCATGGGCCGGATGGGCTTAAACTGGCATAGATCCATGAGTAAGCTATCAGTGCTGGGATTACGTACGCGGGCCGCTGCCGAGCGATGCAGTTCAGTGGGTGCCACCGTGTAGACCTTAAGGTACGCCTCCGTCGGCACCTGGCTAGCGGGCTTCCTGTTGGCATGGGCCAGAATGAAGCGTCCACTGCTCGAGCTGGCGGTGATCGATGTAATGCGACTCGGGCCGCAGCCCATCAAGCCGCCCGCTCCGGCCAGTTTCCGCTTCAGCGTCTGACTGGTCAGCGTTATGGGCTTTGCCGGCGGCACAGCGGATCCAACTGGTGGTGGGGTTGGTGATGGGACCGGGGCCGGGGCCACGGGTGCTGGCGCTGACATGACGAGGGCCTTCTGCACGGTATCCTTGATAAATTCGGTGCCGCGATGCAGTCGCACGGATAGGGTCTTCATCAGTGCACTGGCAGCACTGGGACGCGAGGCACCCACTGCCGAGGGAGTGCCCACTGTGCCACCAACGCCACCGGCCGTCCCGTTGCTCGGGTTGCTGTTGATCTTACCGGCATCGTAGGCCGGTAGACCGGCTGCGGCCAGCATCATTACTGCTGTGCGTGCTGGGCCTGGGGCTGTGGCAGGGGAAAGGGCAGGAGGACTGTGGCTCTGGATGGATGCTGCTCTGCCTCTGCTCCTCGGACCAGTAGCACTAACATGCCCGGCTCTAGCGGTGGGGCTGCAATCGCTTATCTCATTTACCACACATTTTCCATCTTCACTTTACATTTGTCTTTTTTCTCCCCAACACAAAATTAGTTCTCTTTTTGTTTTCTTTTTCACAATTTGGGACTTCTTTTGCGTGTTTGCTGCCTCCCCTGGTTCGCTTCACCGTTTTGCGTTTACCTTACACACGCTCGTTCGTACTACACACGCACTACCACCTCACACGCACACGAACACACACTCCTGCTACAACTACACTACTCGCTTGCTGCCTTTATTTCACCCATCCATTTCCATTGTGTGTCGCCGGTCCAGGAAGCCCCTTAAATTGTCTCTACAGGCAGCTATCACCAACAGAAAATAATTCTCTAATATTGGAGACCATTTAATTGTTTATTAAATTATGTCTGCGGGGCAACAAGAAAACGGTTTTGCGAATTCCGTTTTTTGCTCTGTTTTACGCTTTTACTACCGCACACGTTCATTCATCAGAAGCAGCTGTGGGCTATCGACATCGACCCTCAGAAATATACCGGAATATACCGTCTCGTTTTAAAAATATACCGTAAATATACCGACGAACGTGAGTCGATTTTGTGATTGTTGTTTTGAAATAACAATTTAAGATCATATAATACATATTTGAACTGTTTCGGAAGATCAATGGTAAACCGGACAGCCTACATTTCTGCAGCCATTGGCATATTCTTATAAATGCGTGAATTTTGAGGTTTTTTTTTTTCTTAATATTTTCTATTTAAACATTTCTATTGCACTTTATTTTTTTGGCATTATAGCCCTATGCCCTTCCTTCAACCATTTCCTTTTCCTTTGTTCCTCCACTTCTCTACGCTTTATTTCTACTTTTTTATTTTTGACCCACTCACGGCAGCGAATTTCGCCATTATATTAATTGGGCGATTCAAACTTGACGTTTTTGGGTTTCCACCGTTCTCCTTTAAATTTACCTTTTCAGGTATTTCTAGAGGCAGGTGCTGACCCAACTGAGCTGCTATTGGGCCACCATATTTACACCCAATTTTGCGCTTTAAACTATCAAAATATTCTTCCAGGGAATCTTGATTGAAACCCCTGATATTTACTTGATCAATATCTTTGATCTCTGATTCAGCCTTTCCAGGCCGAATTTAATCTTTCCCAAATAACAACGAATTCATTTATGCAATTGTATAATATGTTATAATTGTACAATATGTATTGTTCAATGCATCAAAACCATCGTTCATACTTTTTAAAAACGTTGATGTAGCGATGGCTGCATCTTTGTCTTTGTCCACGATCAGCCATTTTAATTCCTGTGACGACCGTATTCGAAAATATATTAACGGCCAAATTGGTTTTCATGTTATCATATCCCTGTGGATTGATATGATTTTCCTTTAACTTAGGTGACAAACTTCATGAAATTTTTCAATTACTTTCCATGTCGCTTTGTAATTATAATGGTGCAATTATACCATGTTGTTTCTAGCACTCTTGAACAGATGTACGCAATCGGATTCAGCAATCTTTACTTGTCTAATGTTTCAAAAGCCTTTGTATTTACCCTTGCCTGATTGCAAACTATAGCACGGATATTTAAGCCGGCTGTAGTGCAGCACTTGACTGCCAGATCAATGGCTTGGGCGTAATGGTTTGTTGCGTTTTAGTTAACAAAAATTGACTTAAAATAACATAACAAATGTCAACATTCCAGTTGTTTGGGAGTATTTTATACCATATCCCCGGTCTACGTAACCAATGTCTCAGTCAACGCTGGACATATATTCGATTTTTGGTTTGATGATCATATCATCAAAAATGAGTGCACAATTTCTGTAAAATTTAGTTTATTTACAAGTTTCTTCAACTTTGATATGTTTTGTGAACATATTTTTCACTGAAATTTTTTTTATTTCTTCTTTTTGGGAAATATTTCCCTCATTTACTGATTTTAATATGAAAATTATAGCACTTGTTGGTGAAGGTGTTTATCGATACCGATATCGGATACCGATTGCCAATTAGATGCTATCATTGCCGTTGCCAATCGCGGAAATTGAGCGGGTATTAAGCTAGGTTAATCTGGTGAAGACAAAACTAAGGAACTCCATGAAACTAAGAACCAAGATCAATAGAATTCTCTGCACAAGGTAAAATTTTATTGTCAATGAAAGGATATTACTAGTTTTTTAATTTAATATACACGTATGGCGTGCGAAGAGTTGGAAAATGCAGTTTTTACTGCGAAGTGCCAAATAATTGGTACGACCATTTCGTACGAATTTGAAGCAGAAGCTAGTGCCACAGAACTGAATAAGCTAATTTTCTTCAAGTTAGGAACAGCGGCAAGAGTTAAATAAACTACCGTCTCATTTTATAAATATACCGTAAATATACTGAAAAATTCAATTTCTATTATACATATTCTTCGTTTTTGATATTCCGTTAAATATTTCTAGCTAGATAGATCTCTCAGCCGTGCCCACCTAACTTTATCCGATTAATGAATCGATTTTCTACTTGACTGGCTTATTTTAAACACTTGCTTTTATTGGAAATTGAATAGATTGATGAAATTGATCAAATACACCATTATATACCGATATACCAAAATATACCGTCCCCCAGTATAGGGGGCAAACTTTTACATTGTGCTGCCAGACTGTCCGCACTACAAGGGCTTGATCTTTTTCTTTTGGTCTGGCAGCATTACGGCACAAATTTGAAATGGAAGCAATACAAATTTTAAAAATAGTTTTAAAAATTATATGGAGAGGAATTTCTTTAAAAATAACATCAAAGGGCTTCATTGAGGTAAGGGTAGAAAACGTAATAAAACCTAAATGAGTAAAGATACGGGAGTGATTGATCTTTTCCTCTTGGACTGGTAGCACTGCAGCACAAAATTTGAATTTGAAAAATAAGAATATTAAAGTTGTTAATACTAATGAATATACTTTATTATAAAATAAATAAAATAAAAAGAATTTTTTAAACATTCAAAGCTTATAACTATCATATTAAAATCTTCATTGCGTACTAAACTTTTCAAATTATTTCCTGTTCATTTTACAGCCACTTTGACTCTTGCCGCTCCATCGGCTTGGTAATAAAAATAAGCTTAAATTTGAAATTAAATAAGCTAAAAAGCTACTGTTCGGTTCGGCACTGCTGCGATAATCTGAAATCATACATAGATAAGAGCATCGCTCCGTATCAAGTTTATTATGGCAAAATAATTGCCCAGACGCATGCGGCGCTCAATTTACGAACCCAATCCGGTCGGTCCGGCGGCGCTTGCGCTGTTTCCTGTCGCATGGCTGCCAAGAGGCGGCCGAAGATCGCGACGAGAAAGAGGTGGGATCGGGTATGGCACGCTTTTGTGGTCTGGCCACCCCCTAGGGACACTGGATACTACTCTCCACTGGGCAACTGCTGCGACTGCTGCTGCTTCTCCTGCTGCTGTGACAGAAGTGTTTTTTGGCATGTCAAATGGCCGTTGGTTGCCGCTCCCTCTTCCTACTCCTCCTCCCCCTCCTCCACTACCTCTTCCTCCGTTTAATAACATTATGAAAACGCGTGTTTTACAGCTCATCATGAGGCCAGAAAGAGGAGTAGGAGCATTGCATTGCTTGCATATTTTCGTGCACTCGATTCTCACTGACTGCCTGCCTGCGCCTGAATGCCTGCCTGCCTCACTGCTGACTGCCAGTTAAGAGTCAAGTCCTCGCCACTGGGACGCGGCTGGAGGTCACTTCGTCGTCGACAGCGACCGCCCCCCCATTGCGCCTCACCAGGCCACCACGCGCTCCGTCTCTGGCTCTGGCTTCAGCATCGACTTTGGCCCTCTGCGCAACCGCACCGCTAACAAAAGCCAGAAGCAGAAGCCAGCGTCGGGGCAGGCGTCGGCCTTTGAGCAGAGGGCTATAATTTTCCAATATGCAAATGTGTTTGTGCCACAAAATGGCGCTGTGGCCGCCTCATTAGAAGAGTTCGGCAAATGAGAACAAGAGTGCGAGAGAGAACTCTGCCGAGTGGCCGAAACCATTGACAATTATGCAATTTTGCAGCACGACTAAGCAAATTATTTTCACTAAATTAAATTTTAACTCGTGCTGGGCGCACTTCTCGATAACACCGCACCGCATATAACCACATCCACAGGCCACATCCGCCCATAACCTCAGTGATTCCTCGCCGACTCCGCTCCAAGTGTGTGCCGAGTGTCGAGGAGCGGAGTTGTGGATTGACATGTGGCATGGCGATGAAAAGCTTTGAGATGTGCCAGATTGGGTTCTTGGGAGGCACGCAGCTGCCGCTGGGTGGAGGCACACAATGAATGCGCAAACAAAGAAGTCCCTCCAAATTTTCTTTCAAAAAATAATTGCACGCTCGTTAGTTTATCGATGTGACAGCGGACTGGGGCTTTTTCTTTGATTTGAAGATTAGAAATGGTATTTCTATAAAATTGGGAATACAATTAACGCAAGAGAGTGAAGGATTCATTAGATTTCTTAAAATTACGTTGTAGGTTTTTAATTTTATTGAAATTTCGATGGATTGATTATTCAATACTGCTTCTGTTATTCAGCACTGGCTGACTAACTGACTAACTGCAAAAACGGAGATAGCCTCTTATGGGAAACGCATGCAGAGAGAGCGAGAGAAATATATGAGCCAGCTTGGCTTTCCAGTGAATTTCGAATTTCGATAGTTTTTCAAATACAATTTTGATTTCTGCCTGACTGTGTGCCTGTTGGAAAACATAATTTTTGCACATATAGTACCTCAGTTCTCGGACTTATAGCCTGGAGACGTGTCCGTGGACGGGTACGAACAGTATTTAAGCGTCTTGTCACCCATGCTATCTCTCTCTCTTTACAGTAAAGTCAGTCTAATGCTCTTAGTCCAGTATTGAGCGAAGTTTTGCATATATATTTTGCGATTAAGGACCGTCAAGGATCTCCTTCTATTCTTCTGAGAATAAATTGGAAATTTTCTAACCCAACAATATCTGCTCTGTCCGTAATGAAGCTCATTTTGGAAATTTATGAACTCCTCGCCGGCCAGTGTTTATAATCAACGTGATGCCACAAAATAAATGATTATTGAAATGCGCAACGCAAATGAAGCGAAATGAAATACAACAATAACAGATTTGTACGCAACAAATTCCGCGCATTGTTTTCAACAATTTGTTTCTCTCTCTTGAAAATCGATTTAGTTGATTTTCAATTACATTTCATTTCATTTCATTTCGGCCTCAACATTTTTTCCACAGGTGTGAAGAGGTGCGCTCTTTTTTTCGGTAATGAAAAAGCCATAAATCATGGCACAAATGAAGCTGAACTCTGGGTTTCTTTCGATTTTCGTAGGGCCCTTCGTTTTTTCTTGCGTGTTTCTTGTGTTTTATTGTTGTAATGTGTAACATTGATTAAGCATTATTAGCGTTTATTGTTGTTGCGGCTCACTCGGTCTTCGAATATCCTCTGTGGCACTCCGAACCACTGCACACCACTCCACTCCACTCCACTCCAGTCCAGTCCATTTTCTGTGGCATTCTATCTAGTCCATTGTGGTGCTCCTCTTCTCTTTCTATTTTCTTTCCTATTTTGGTTGTTGCTTTTTGTGCACGCACAGTGGGACACTTTCCATCATCAGCACTCCTCCGAATGATGGAACGGTTCTTCGATGGCCAGCTCTGGCAACCCTGCTATCAGCCCCCCACAAAACATGCCCCATTTCGAGGGCTGACCGCTATGGGGGCAACATATTAATATATATTTTCTCTGTCTGTCTCTCTCTCTGTCTGTCGGTCGGTCTTTTGCTCGAAGTAAATCAAAATTGATTTGCTGTGTGTGCAGCCTCTTCGGGTAATGGAGTTTTTAATGAACTCTGGTACGAGTATGGACAATGGGAATTTCTGGCAGTTGTAATGGTGGAATTTGGAAGGTGATTCTTAGATGCTTGTTGTATATTATTTTGGGAATTCTCTTTCATTCAAAACCCACCAGAAAACACATATGTATATTCCCCTAAAGAAATAAAATAAGGGGAGTAGAACAGAAATTGCAATAAAAACGAGTCAGAGCTGTAACCAAAGTGGCCCAAAAGCGACATCGAGTGTGACGGGAGCCCCAGAGGGGCGGCGGCCATTACTCAGGCGCATTGCCTTGGCCAATAAAACGGAGCGGAGAAATGGCCATAAGCACAGCAGAGGGGATTGGCCAGAGGCAAGACGAGTTTTGGGGCGCCTCCGAGCCTCCGATCTCCAAGCGAAAATCGGAAACAAAGAGCCCAAATTGATTTTGCGGTAGCCCAGGCAATAAATGTTTTTCAAGCCAAATGCTAAATACAAGCTGACTAAAAGGGAGTAGGGGGAAGGGGTACGGTACTGGTACAGGAGGAATCGGAGGTGCTTCCAAAGAGGGCCTGTGGGGGCTATCCAATCTCATTGCGGCCTTGCGCACTGCACGAAAGGTTTGACAAAGTGAGAAATATGCATGGCAAAAACCACAAGCAGAAGATGGTTCTGCCACCAGAACCTACCCCCCACTCTGCCCCCTCGAGGATACCCACCATAAGGAAGGTCCCTTCAACTGCAACGAGAAAATATGATGACATATCGCGTCATAGTTCAAACGGCAGGGAATCCACTGATCAATTTTGTACACAGCAAGGCGCCATCTTTTTGGCCCTTGCATGGCTGTGGCTCCGGCTCCGGCTCTTACTTTTATTTTCGAGGATTTAGTATGCAGGATAAAGTGTATATAAATATATATGTATAAAGAGCGCAAAGAGAGGCGGACGGGGCGGACTTGGCCTGGTCAGTGGCTCACAGTGCTTGTTTTTGTTGTTTTTTGTTTTTTGTTTTTTTTTTGGTTTTGCTTCGTTTCGAGTGAGCCAAATCGTTGGCCATAATTTTTTATTATCCCCGAGTTCAGAGCGAAAAGACGACGGACTCTTGGCTTCCGTTGGCGGACTCGAAGTTGGAGTTTGGCTCTGGGGGCCCTGTGGGCTCTGGGAGTAGCCATAAAAATAATTAATTGGCTTTTATGTGGCAGGAGCCGTTGAAATTTCGCTTGTTTTTCTGCTTTTCCCTGTACCCCGTTCCCTGCCCGTTTTGTGTGCTGCCTGGCAAATGCAATTTCTGCATCGCATTCGCCAGTTTAATTAGCCATATTAATTATCTTCATAATCAGCATCTGTTTTGCGGTCGCACACATGCATACACATGCACACAAAGCTCATTTCCGCTTCTGTTGGCGGCCATTTTGTTCTTACTCCCGGTCGTTGTTTTGTTGTTTTGGCGAATTAATTAGTTTTTGCGGTTCCCCCATTGGCCCATCGACCGCAAAATTAAATACGTTTCTGTTTGATTTTTCAATAAATTCTACAGAAATGGATGGGACATCATTTTCTGATTTCTAGCTTGTCATTTATTTCGTGGAAAACGGGTCGGTGATGGCTAACCTCAAAAGAGCGCGCTCCGATTTTTGTATATTCTTTAAAAAAGGAAGAGAAACCTTTAATGCCTTGAAAGGACACATTCTTCGTCTCCAAGAGCATTTAAGAACGTTTATGAGAACGGAAAACTAAGATATCTTCAATGCTATTCACAATTCCTGAGATATTACATTGAAGTGATGTAGAATAAACATAGACATATATATATAATCCACCAAACCATTCAATTTTTATAAAGTTCCGATGAAATGTGGAGGTGAAATGTGGGCTCTAATTACAACTAATGAAGATATATTAATTTCTGAATTATATTCATATATTCTCTGCACTTTTCAAATCTACTTTAATCAAGCTATCGTTCCAGAGACACATCATACTTCTGTCTGCACCTCTGAACTGACCTGACCCCCACCGGATCGTGTTGATTTTCTCCCACATTTCATTGGAGCACCTTGCAGAAGTTTCGCAGTGGTTTTTTCCATTTTCATGCCACTTGTTTAATGTTTAATCATACATTTCCCAGCCCTTTCTTTCCGTCAGAACCACTCCACTTTGCACCGTCCTTCCCTCCTGAGACCCCATGATGATCATCGTCGTTCGTTTCCATTAATTTATGCGCGGAAAACTGCAGCACAGTGTGAAGCATTTTCCCATTTCCCCATTGCTTTCTGTTGTTGCTGGAAAATGTTCTTCGTGGCATAAATTGTGGGGAAAAATATATATGTTGTTGATAATGGCCAGAGAGAGATGGAAAGAGACTGTCAGAGGTGCGGCTGAAAATCAAGGGGAAATGAGCGCAAAATTAATGGATTAGAATAAGTGAAGAAAAAACCCATATGATTATTAATGATAATTGCGCGGTAGTTGTACAGAAAAGTCATAAATAATGGTAAAATTGGTTGGGCAATTTACGTTAATTGGAGGAGAAAGTCTCCAAAGTTTATATTAAAGAAATGGCTTGGAGTCAAAAGTGTAATCAAAGTTGAAAGGAAAAAGTAATTACTTATGATTGAATGTAAAAGTTTTAGGAATATACAAAAGTTTAAGATTTCGTAGTCATTCTTAAGATATAGGATAATTCCATACTCTACAAGTAATGGACGTGACCGCAAAGGAATTCAAGAATAAGAAACGGACTCTTCTTCTCTTCTCGAGAAGTTCGAAAAGCTACGAAAAGTAAGGAACGATCTGGTAAGGAGGAAAAACTCTTACCAAACTCTTTTTAAATGCCATAAATCATCCAAGAAAAAAGGGTCTGAATAACAAATCAACACTAATGAGTTTTTGTTTAATTGAAAAATAAAGAAAATCAAGCGGGCCCACAAAAAGGTAAAAGTTTGTAGGCAAACAAAAAGAAACCCCTAAATATTATAACCGAAAATATAAAACAAAACGGAATAACAAAAGGATGTAAAAAAGACGAGCTTCGAGGAACTGAGCAATTTTTAGAGGGCTTAAAAGTATAACGCCCCTTAAATATTGTGTACATCTGTACTAGATGTACGTGTTTTACGCGCCAAAAGTGCAATATAATAGAAGCATGAAAAAGCCAACCGCATAATACATACCACATAATATAGTTGATCTATATAGTTTGATGTGTGCCCAAGTTAATGAAGCGGAAATGCAAATCAACAAGAGAGAAAAAACAGCTATATATGGGATGTACGTACAGCCATCCTCCACAGGCCTTGGGTCGGGGCCAGGCCAATTGTTCACTTACCCGGTCCCTGCGTACGATTAAAAAAGAAACGTCAACGATGCTGATGATGATGGTGATTGCATATACATACATATGTACATATAGTTCTTATGTAGTATGACCTGGCAGTGGATCCATTGTTCCATTCGGCTGACATTTCAACGAGGGAATCAACAATTAAACAAACAAATGCGTAAACGCCGTCAGAGGTCCGAGGCGAAGGTTTTCTCGGATGCTGCGCTTTTGTTTGTTTTGAGAACGGGCCTCCTCCTTCTCGACCTTCTGCTACGGAGAGTTCTGCAAAAACCAACAATAAAAGAATAGTAATATAGCTGAAAATTGAGTGAGTGAGGGAATATTGTTATTTGCCATTAGTTTCAGTTCATTGGGTCCTAATGCGTTTCTAGTTCCATTGATAGCCGCAAAAGTTTTGATATTTGCAAACCTGTAGACCTGTGGAGCTGTAGAGTTTTCTCTGAGGTTCTTTTAGAGAAACGAACATTTTAATCGTTTTTAACACTATGCATCAGTATTTAATGGATTGATTATTCGTGTAAAGCCATTGGGACATACAATATGAGTTTCTCGAAAAGACTGTTCTCCACACAAATAATGTAATATGTGAAAATTTATGGTTGGCTTTTGTCACTAGTGTTGTTACATTCGTTTCCGTGTTCTGGTGTGCCCTTTAAGTGTGCTGTGTTTTACTGTGGATCCGCAATAGATCCTTGAAAATGTCCCGCTACGGGCTTTTAATGTTAGACTTATCGCGGTACTCCCGAATACGGCGTTCCTGGGCCTCACGACGCTGCTTGCCCTCTGCAAAGGCGGTCATCGGTTGCCACTGTCCGGACTTCGCCTTGGGCTTGGAATGGAAGCGCTGCTTGCGCGCGTAGAGGGGACGGCGCTGGTTCACCCACCAGGCGAAGTCCGGTACTATCAGGACCATGGATTTTATCACCGCCTGGTGACGCTTGATGTAGTCCCGACGCTCCAGCCATTTGCGGCCGTACTCCCATCCGAGGATGTAGCCCATGCACGGACGCTCGTCGTCGCAGTTCTCGGGAATGGGATCCGGCCGGACAGTCGCTGGCAGAATCGCTCCGATGTGATCCTTGGCGACAATGGGCTTTGAACGTTTCCAAATATCTTCTTTAAGCATTTTTGTAAACAGAATTTGTTGTTTTTATGTTTTTATGTTCATCGTTTTTCAGTTTAATTTGTTTGATGTTGACTGTATGCTGTCTGGTTGTAGAATGAGTTTGGATGGGATTGGATTTACTTGATAAAAAGTAAATCGAAGACTACTTGGTCTGGATATCAAAGATCATCTAACCAAATACGTACTCGGTTGTAAGACTAAGGGAATAGTAGACATCCGAAGGTTCCTGAATTTACTGATAAAACATGAATGAAAAATATCATCAATAACACTTGGATACCTCTCACAATCTCCAAACCCTTTTCCCAAGCTCCACACCCACTCCACCTACAGACAATACTCGTAATAATTTTAATTAAATGCATCAAGACCATTGACCAAAACAAAGGCGCCAAACCACCAAACACGAACGGCGGAAAGGCAGGGCAGGGAAATGAGTCCCGAAATGAGTTGCAAACAAATTACGCCGCAGAAATGGGCTCCCAGCGGTGACAAATTACAAGGAAACAACGGCACAACGGCGGAGAGCGATGCCAGCGATGAGAAATGATGACAGCGCACAACGGTAACTGTCAGAGAGAGAGAGAGACAGAGAGAGCGCAGTTTAAGAATGGAGTGTGAGTGTGAGTGCGCGAGAGCAGGCCAGCCATCACAGCTGCGGCGCACAAAGGGCTACAGAGGAAAAAGGAAAGCTGCGAAAAATTTGCACAGTATTAGATCATGCTGCGACCACGTGGTTATTGTGACCCCTATGTACATACAGTGTAGACTACGGTTACATTCAGAAAACTTTGATTGCATAATTGTGAATGGGAAAAGTACGCTGCGATACGTGGAACTGGTAGGAAAACCAGCTGGTGCCATAGCCACTTCCGCTGTGATGTATTCTTGCACCTTTTGGCACGCGTTGTGGCACTTTATAGAGCCCCACGTCCAACTGTTCCACTTCCGCCGCCTTCCTCGTGTCGTAAACAGCCTCAGACCTCAGTGGGATCACTCCATACTTGACCTATGGCCAGGAACGCCCCCGCTGACTGGACTGTGCCCTCATGCCGTGCTTTTCACATCCCTGGCATCTTCCTTTAGTCGAGACTTTTTGGTTGATTTGGGTTTTACGCTCGGATTTACATCTGTTTGCATTTTGTCCTGCTTCTTTGTACCGGACCGAGCAAATGGGCGATTTGTTTTCAACTCCATTTGGGCTCACAGAGAGCCATTATAGCCATTAGCAAAATGTTTTTAGGGTTTTCATTTCGGCATTTTCCACGCCATAGTTTGGTTTGGTTCGGTTTGGTTTTATGTCTGTTAACTCAATTAGCAGTTGGGAATCACAGAAGAGAATAATCGTCACTCCAGCCTTCACTTTCCAATCAAGTGTGACGTTTGAATCCATCAAGCAGATATATTAATTTCGAAAAAAAGGTAGATAGAAAAGAAAACATTTATTTTTTAGCATGACAGTCTACAAACAGTATAGTCGCGCCAAGCCCTACCTGCCGAAAGACCCGAAAAAACACCATCTCGGACATCAATCCTTCACCCCCTCCTATGAGAAGGACGCTCCAACGATGAGTCTGCTGATGTGCTGGCACTACGGCCGCAAATGGCTGGAGGAGTCCAAGGAGTTCCACGAGAAGATCGCGAGAAAAGAGCGAGGCTTTATACAACCCGACATCCAAGGCTGGCTGCAGAAACGCATGACAGCCGCTATGCGTCGTGCTAATAATCTGGACCCTATTCAGAAGAAGCCTAGATGGGGATAACCATATGGTCAAAGACCATGGAGCTTGTACAACAGTTAACTCAAGTTAAAAGAAAAGAAAAGAAAAAGAAATAATTGTACAATCAAGAGCCAACCAAAGCTTTTATTCGTTGATCGAGTTATTCAGTTACCTAATTGATTCGTGTTCATTTCTTGATTCTAAATAAAACATACTAGCTCAAAGAAACGCGTTCTACCTCTGCACTGCCATTCATTTCGATCGTTGGATCCATTGTTGGCATTTCCTTTTTTAGTTCTCTCGTATTAAATATTCTTCCCGCACTTTCAGTTTACACTCTTGGAATAGCCGTCTCCCCTACCAATTCCTATATGATAGGCCCCCCACAAAGTACAAAACTCTTTCAAAATATCTTTCCACTCACTTCATTACCAACTGAGGCATATCCATTGGGTCTACGTATAATAAAAACCACTTCAGAAAACTAATTTTTGAGCATTAGAAAGGGCTGGCCGCCCTATGTGTACATAGGTAGTTTCCCCCCGCCCCAGGCCTATTGTGATCCGGTATGACTTTGCTTTCAAAACATATTTGTAACGGCAAAAAGCCGACACAACAAAAGCGTAAGACCCAAAGATGGCAGAAAGGCTCAAGTACACGCACTTCTAAACGCAATTACGTTTAGCTTTTGCCAAGGGGTTAGGGTAGTGGTAAAGGGAATCAGAATGATGGAAGGTACAGGCACAATCATGCACAATTTGACGATCGTCATACAGAAGCAACAATCTCCATCACCTAAGGGCGAAACTTGAAACAGATTTTGTGCTCTCTTGACTTTACCCCTTCTCAGGCTTGCATCCTCATCTCATTCTCCTACTCCTCTTTCCATTCTTCTCTCTCTCTCTCTCTCTCTTCTGGAACATTTCAGCACGCCCCAGGTGAAAAATAAAACGCATGCCTAGCGCAGCACCAGAGAATGCATCATCATCATCCTCACCACACACTATTGCCGTCTCGCTTGGTCAACGCCATTGGGGGTTTGGCATTGAGCCTACGTGCATATAGCCATCGCACTCACTCCCTTTCGGTGGCACGCACTTTTCTGACCTTTTGTATAGAGGGATTTGCCTTTATTAGTTTGTCTAATTGCTTTTCGCAACTATTATTATGGCATTTTCTGTTGTTGCTGTTGCTGTTGGTTTTTGTCCACATAAAAAAAGTATCACAGATGTGTGAACCCCGCTCTGACCCCCCATGAGTACCCCTCGCTCTTTGATTTGACTCTTCACAGGGCATAAAATATATAACATTCGTTTTTCGCTTTTGGGTGTGCTTTGGTTACCATGTTCCCATCTACGATGTTCGGCTACTACTTTTGTAATACTGTTTTTTAATAAATTCTGTTAAAGAAGGCGTGAAATTTTTTTTTTGGCTGTTTCAGCATTTCCGTTTCGTGCGAGGCCCCCTGTTGCTTTGAGGGTGGGGCTGGGGTGAAGGGTCAAGGGTCAAGGGGGCCTGGGACAGGGGAAAGTGTTTTTCATTAAATTTTAAATACAATATTATTTAATTTGGTTTGTTGGTTGATGGATGACAAATTTGGTTGCATATTTTCAGGGGTATTTGAAAGGAATTTCCATGGCAACAAAGGTATTTGGGTTATTGGTTCGTGGTCCTTTCTTTTCCATATGGGATTCTTTTTCTGCTCGAAACTGGATGAATATATTTAAAAGTTCTTAGTAATCAAAATTCACAAAAGAGAAGGTGTGGGAGTGATTGTGGGAACAGTTTTAAACAAAACAGAACAGATTTGCACAAAATTTCAAGGTTTTTTCTTGAAGGATCTCAAACCTTAACTCAACTTTCATTCATAGTTTGGAAACAAAGGAAACTATCTTTTCCTAGCTCCCAGTTCACTCGAGACCTATCCCAACCAGATATATTTATTGTTCTCTCCCCTGATGTATGGCCTGCTCTGGGGCTGGAAGCACAGCAGTTATGGCTCCCACAACTCCTTGAGAAGAGAAACACTTTGGCTGGCCATATATATCCCTCACTTTTTATGCCCTTTCGTTCCTTTTGAGTTATGTTATTTATCATTCGACTGTGTAATTTTTCATTCGACAAACTTTCAGTGCCACACGCACCAGTACGAAGAGGCCAAGGAGGAGACTCCGGCTCGGACTCGGACTCGGACCCATCTGCTCTGGGGCAAACGAAATATTTTGCTTTGCTTCTTGACATTTATTTCGCCCATACAAAGCGAAACAAAAAGAGAGGACGAGTGGAAAGAGCGAAGAGAAATATGCGAACAAAAACAATAAATAGTGTAGCAACAACAATCAACGTGCGATATTATTAATTTTACTTTATTTGTGGCGCATTCCTTGCGGGCGCCCAGGAACAGCAGAAGGACCAATGGAAAAAATAAGTAAACCAGAACCAAAGTCACGCTCATCCCATACCAAAAATAAACGACATGTGGACGTGAAGGAGGCGGAGGAGGCGCTGGGCGAGCAGGAGAAGTTTTGGCCACCTTTGCGTGTCCATTGGTTATAATTCAAACTGCATTGGGAGAACCTCAGAGCTCAGGCCGCTGCACGTTGAAATAAATATAAATGTCAAAACTGAGTGGAGTATTTCAGGGCGAGCTTACACATACACCGGGGTATATACACATGATGTATACTATATGTGTGTGTACATAGTATATATCATCAATCGTTGCACTCTGGTCCCGAGTTCGGGTTACAAATGAATCATCGGGCGGGTTGAGGTGCGTGAGAAATCCGGGATTTCGTTTGGCAAATTGCTGTTGAAAATGAATGGGAGAAAGGTAATGAGGATTGTAGAAGAAAGCTATATAAATTTAGAATTTAGAATGATCTTTAATCGGAGCGAAATTTTCCTAAGACAAACTCTTCATTAGCCTTTCCGATAAATATCGGTTGTCCGGATAAAAAGCGTTTGAGTTATTAATGCAGATTCCCCTTGAATCAATCAATCTTTGGGCATTACACGGGATCATTTATTGTCTTCTTTAGTTATTTTTTGGTTTAACAATGTTCGATTCTAGCAAACAACAAAATCGATTCCCTTTAACCCAAAACAACTCATTTGGCGGAGTCAAACGGCGCTATGTGGCGCCGACTATCATAAATAATAAAAACACCCAGCCGAAACGAGAAAAAAACCTAACTCAAACATTGAATTTTATTAATGACAAAAAAGGCAGCTTTTTTGTTTAAGTTGCATTGAAAATGTATTACCAAAAAAAGTCAGAAAAATAAATGCATTAATTCATTCATAAGACGAGAAGTTGAGCAAAGCACTTGACCAGTTTTTGGTTCCAGTATCTGTCGCTTTTTTCGGGAGGTGGGCTCCAACTTCAAACGGCGATTTTTATCGTTTTGTCTCCATGGAGATGTTGAAAATTTTAAGCGCCATCATTTATTATGTAGGGCTCGTTATTGTTGTTGCATTTATGCACAAATTTATGTGATTTTTATGCGTAGACATAATTATAAAAGTCGCTTATACTCGAGGATCCAATCCCAACAAAATGACCAAAACCCAAAAAAAAATTTAAGAAAAACACAAACCAAAAACCAAAAACCAACCCATGTCCAACGATCTTCAGGCTTCATTTGTTGGCCACTCTCTGGTCTCGACTCCCAGTGCTTGGAGATGGAGTAGGAGTTGGAGTCAGAGTTGGGATTGGAGTTGGAGCCGGCGCTCCAGCTACACCTCACATTGTCATAAATTATAAAATTTTATGCGTAAATTAATGACAACGTTTTTTTCTTCGGTCTGCCTGGAATATTTTCTCATTCGTTGGAGCTGAAGCGAGGAGTTCCCTATATGGAGAATGGGTATAGTATACATAACTGGCACTGGATTTTCAGTGGGGATTAGATAGATATTTAGAGGGAAAAGAATTAGAAATGGATTACGTTATTTGTTAGCTTTTCAATAAAGTTCTCTCAAGTGGGCGATTATTTTCATATCTGTAGATTCTTCGAGAGAAGGGCATGATGAAGGTATGGAAGACGTTGAAGAGATCATCATGGATCTTTTCTAAGATGATAATAGTCTTCGGCTACCTAAAAACAATTCTTAATTCTCTCCCAAAACCTTTCCCCTTCAGAGCATCTACTATTCGTAGTAATCCACATCCATAAATCACCTTCTCATTTTTTAATCACTTTTTTTGTGGTGTTTCCAATTTTTGTCATGTCTTTAGTCAGATTAAGTGTTATGGTCAACTGAATTAGTTGCATGAGGGTTAAGTCTTACAAAAGAAGGGGAAATTCTTGAGCTCGGGATCAACATGGTTTCAATATTAATAGACCATGGCCATACGAATATTAATGATGTGAGAAATGGGAAAATTTATGCAGAAATGATTGAGGAAAATGTTGGTCTAATTAACTATAAGTGGCTACAGTCTAATCAAATGTTTTCCAAGGCACAATTTTCTCATTTCTCTGACAACAGCAAGCACCATCACCAGAGCAACCTCAAAAAAAAAAAACCGCAAAAAGAGGCAAAATAATTGGGACCAGGGCACAGTAAATGCAATCAACTTGAAATGAACAATTGCTTTTGATTAAACAAAAGTAGCAGTGAGACAATTCCCTCACTCACTCACTCCCTCAGTGGATTTCTCTTTCTCTATCACATGGCGTATCAACAAAATAAAATCAAATAAATTAGGCAAAATGAGGGTGGCCCCTGATTGTGTTCAAGGGGGGATACGCATGCAACCGCAAAGTGCGCAAAAAAGTTCATTGAGGGACTGTCTCCCTGGCACATAAATAGACAGCTGAGGTTTGGAATACCCTACATGGGTTTTGATATATTTATGTGTGCCAAGGCAACTTTTTCCTTTAGAGATATATTTATATATTATCCAGTTTATAGATAGATAAACCCTATCTGGAACAGTCTTAAAATCGACTGTGCTGCACATTCTTAGACTTTCGTTGATAGTATTTAATACTAGATGATCACATTTCAGCTATCTAAAGTACAACCTTTTCACCTACAGCATGTACTCAACCAAAAGAACCCACATAAATCCAAATTCTCTACAATTTTCATATTCATAATTCCCTTTATTGCTCTGAGTACTCCTTCTCCCTCCAAGAAGG